AATAAACCTCAAAGTGTGTTATGCATTGCTGATTACTTTCCTGCTTGTTAATTTTGCATTCACCGTGCTCTAGTGCTAGGAAGAATATTTAATCCTCTTTAAATATTATTTTGGTATGGTTTCTTAAAAGGGCTTGACCTCTCACTGCAAAATCTCTAGTTATTTAACAAAGGAAAGCAAAATGAAAAGAAAGAAGTGTAGATATCTACTTTCTGTTACAAAAACTTTGCAGTCAAGGGCTTCTTCATGGTGGGATTTCCATGACTGTGGACAGGGAGTGGTGGTCACCTCCAGGGAGGTGGATTGATGGTTTACTCTGCATGCGTGTGTGTGTATTTTTTTTTTTTTTAACAGAATTGAAGACATAGGGTAACATCGGTTAGCTGCAGAGGTTATAGTCACCACTGAGAACGCTAAGGAGCGATGTTTGAAATGGATTGTGAAACAAAATTTGCAGACCTTGTTGTGCCAGAGGTCTGCCCAGCACTGTCCTGTCTGACAGTGCTTGGTACTGGAGGAGTGGAGGGAGGAATAGTAGTGTGTGCGTAGAATAACCCTTCTGTGCTCTGTCCAGAGATATCATGCATCATGTTGGATTTAATCTCACACTGAACCTATATCTCGTGCACTTTTAACAATCATTCTTTGAGGTTATCTGTGCACTTGGCTTCTACGATGCCCTGTCCTTTTATCAATTGTGAGCACGGGGCGAAGATCTGATTCCAGAAAGTGAAAATTTAGGATTTCTTCTTATCTCTTGAACCCTAAGCACAAAGAAGACTTTCTGCATATCCAAAAGTCACACAGGATTTTGTCAGCTCCATTCATCTGCCAGCAGTAGCTCAGTGACAGATTGAACTGTGGCTTGAAGAGGAGCAGAACAGCTCAGCCTGGCTCTGGACAACACCCAAGGCAGAGCTCTACTGGGCTGTACAAGGGAGGTGTGCACCCAGGGGGCACCAAGGCTGCTGTCTGCAGAGTGTCTGCTGGGAGTGGGCAGTGCTGCTATGGGGAGCTTGCAGTGCTGGGATGGGTGCTCCTCAGAGAGCTTGGGTACAGAGCAGCTGTGGGAAATGTTTTTGGTAGAAGTGCAGACGGGAGAGCAAGTAAAATGAATTTGATACACTGATGGCTTTCTGGAGGCTTCTCTGGGAAGTGGAAGGGTGGTCAGCAGTATGTTTCTTTGCTAGTGCTGTGACACTCATAGAAAGCATAAGTTCAGGTGTTTCAATAAATGCAGTTGTTCAGCTCCCTATAAAAATACAGGAATACACTGAAGTGGTACAGAGTACCTTTGTTACGTTAGGACATATAGAATGTAATGTAAACTTAATCTCTGCTCAGTGACATTGCTGTCTCCAGTCTGTGTCATTCTTAATGCTCTTGACAAAGTCAATGCTGTGTTTCCCATCTTTTTTCCTGTAGGAGAAATTTGATTAAATGCTGCATTTGGATCAGGCTGCTCAGACGTGTGATGGAGTCACTCTCCCTAGAGGTGTTCAAGAGACTTACAGATGTGGCACTGAGGGATGTGGTTTAGTGGATGTGGTGATGGGTTGATGTTTGGGATAGATGATCCCATTGATCTTTCCCAGCCTTAAGGTTATGTGTTTCTGTGTTTTTTAAAAATTTTTTATTTTTTTTCAGCATCACGTTGCTGATGAACTGCTGAGGGCTCCTTGCTGATGAGTTGAACTTAATTTATTATTTCCTCTGTTTTTCTTCTTTTCCTGAGTTTTCATGCGACTTTGCATCTCTTTTTTTCATGGAGTGTGACATAACCAGGCTTCCACTCCAGGAAAGCCTGGGGTGTGTTGCCAGTGCAGGAATTCACCCCTCAGCTCTGGCTTTGGTTGCGACTTGCTGTTACAGCAGATAATGACTTTGAGTGTGTGCACTCTAATTGCTCAACCGGTTCGTCAGGGTCGCTCAGGTGAGCTTGGAGTGTTGGTCATGACTGGGATTCTCACTTTCTTTGTACTTTGTACTTATCCTGTGCCAGCCTGCCTATTTGCCAGAAAATTCAGGTTTTAAAGAAGTGACTTATCATGGCAGCAGCTTGCTTGAGTTTGTTTGTTTCTTTTTCCACTGTAAACAACAATCTATAGAAAGGACAGAAAGATATTTCTTTTTTTCAATTAATGTACAGTGAAAGTAGGTGTGCACAGTTCCAGTTTTCCTGATCCATGTCAGATTTCCTTCTATCATTTACCTGTACAAAATATCTTTTTGAAACAAGAAGTTTTACAATGACTGAAATGGATATCCAGGTCTGATATAAATATATACATGTACACGCACACATACATATCTTTTTTTTTTTTTTTTTTTAAAAGAGCTTTTGGTTGTCCAGATATGACAACTGTATAGTTTGTCTCTTACTTAAAATTTGTGCACACTGAATTGTATCTGTCAGCATATGGCCCAGTAACTAGGTCTTATAAGGTCCTTCTGCCATCCTGCAGTGTCTTGAGTAGTGTGAAGAATTTGATGTTATTGGTTAACTTGGTCAAATAGGGACGTTCTTGGTACAGATTTAGGACAAGGGAAGTTTCCATGGTCCACTTTGGGAACCTAATATTTAAAAAAATGTATGCCTTTTGCTCCTTTGGCAGCGGTGAAATAGGAAACGCGTGTTTTCGTATTGTGGTTGTTAGTGCAACTGTTAGATCATTAGACTTCTCTAGGACTCTTGGTTGAATGTGATCTGCTTTTGCTAGCTAGTTCTTGTATTGCCCCCACCCCTCTGAGCTGTGCCTTGCTCGGAAGCAGATCTTCCAGTACATTTTTCATCAAGGCTTTCTCTGGGAGAATATCGTTCAGCTGCTCCATAGCGAACATGAAGACCACGCTCAGTGTTTCTGCCAAGACTTTAGCTGGTTTTAGCATTACCTTATGCATCTGCTGTTTGTTTACTTGAACCTCACAGGTCCTACCAGGCTCCCTACTCACCATTATTACTCATGTGCTTTAAAAAGGTGATGGTTGTAGTTCTCACACTTTTTTCCTCTTTTCTTTAACATCTGGGTGAGAGTATCTCATTGCATTTTTTTTCTGTCTGTTGTAAGCTTGCTATTGTTTCAGCCCCATTTGGATTACTTCTACAAGATTCTTCTAATATTTCCTCTAATATGCTATTCAGCCATCTCCTTCTCCTCCCTGTCATGTTATTGTTCCCTTCCTCCCCATTCCTAAGTCTTTGCTGTATTTTTTTTGTATTTTGTCTGTTTCACATAATGTTGTGAATCTTCTCATTGCCTACAGACATTTTACCCTTGATGATTCCCTCTGTTTGTTTCATCTTGTGTGGTAAAAAAACAAACAAGCAACGTTCTTACTTTAAATTCCTTCATGTTTGTTCCTCTTCCAGATATTAAGATCATTACTAAATTTGGGGAGTTTCATACTAATATTTTGAATCAAATAATGCACAGTGCCTAAGATCAAGAGAAACAATACTGCTGACAAAGGAAAAGGCAACTTATTTCATAAAGCAGGCACTCCTGACATCCAATATTGTCTTGCCATTTACCAGATATTAGAAACGTCCCAGTATTTTTTTCTTGTCTTTTTGTAACGTTTCTGGGTGCTCTTGTGGTCACTGAGAACCAACATGTTTAAATACTACGGCTGGTGGTTTTTTGTGTGATTGCAATCTTGAGTGTAGAGAATGTAGATGTATTTTATGCGCAAGAACTTCTTTACAGTGAGGTGACGGAGCACTGGAACAGGCTGCCCAGGGAGGTGGTGGAGTCTCCTTCTCTGGAGATGTTCAAGACCTGCCTGGATGCCGACCTGTGCGACCTGCTGTAGGGAACCTGCTTTGGCAGGGGGGTTGGACCCAATGATCCCTGGAGGTCCCTTCCAACCCCTACAATTCTGTGATTCTGTGATTTTCTTAATGACAAAGTGGGGACAAAGTTGTCCACTAGGACTTTCTCAGAAAAACATCTTTGGAGCTTAATTATAGTATTGTCTGATGTGTCCGTCTGTTATAGAAGATGTGGAGGTTCCCAAGTTAAACAGGGGAGTTGCTGTAGCTATCTTGGAAGGAGTCTTAAAAGTAATATCAGACAGTTGTAGGTAGAAAAAGGGAGAGCAAAAGAAGTTACCAAAGCTAGAAGTGGAATGGAGGCATGAGTTAAATTATGCCTGAAATTTGAGTGATGAACCAGTGCTCACCAAAAGGGATGGTGGGAGAGGAGGTGGGGGGGAGGGGGAAGAAAATTGACTGCCTGTCCTCCTCCCTCCCTTTTTTTTCGATCAGATGCCTTTACGTTTCTCTTCACATCAGTGTGGTCTAGGGCTCTTTGCCATCATCAGCTTCAGTTCGTATGCTGTCTTAACTTTGCTCTTGTTCTAGTGTCCTCAGATAATACTCTATGAAAACACTTGTGGCTTTTGAAGAGCACTTCATTACTATCTGGTGTAGTTTCTGTAACACTCAGTGCAGAAGAGATCTGAGAGATTTCTGTATGAATTATAAGTGGTGTAGGAGGAAAGCTTCTGCAGTACGAAAGCTGGATGCAATTCTGTGGCTTCCTATGGAAGTCTTCCTTGTTAATATAGAGTGTGTTTCTAAGCTGTATTGTATTCAGCTTTCTGAAGGAGGGAATCTTTGGTAATTGTCTCAATTCACAATAGAAGCTTAAAGGCAGAAAGCAAACAACCAAATGCAGAGGGGAACGAAGTTGTTTTGCTTGTGTCTTAGTTTTTCCTATATCAATTCTTTCTGATCAGAGTTGCACTGCTAATAAAACAGCTGTACTGCAAAAGCTTGAAATATATAACTTGTTAACTTTTGCACCTCTAGAATTTTATTACTGAAAACGAGTTATCCATGTCTGCAGTCAATCATTGAAATTTCAGAAGCTGTTTTATCAGCCCTCAGATTTGGGATATGATTATTCTTTTTAATTTTTTTTTTTTAAATTTTTAATGCTGTTTTTAGCATAAAATTTGGTTATTGTAACCATTTTGCTATGAATTTTTTTTTTCAGGTTTCGCTAAATGGTACGCAGTTTACAGACAGTTCTGTTGGATCAGAGTTCACAGGGGTTTCTCAGGTAAGTACAGCCAGATTTTGTGGGTGTGTATGGTAGCAGAAAGATATTAATGGGAGAGAGAATTACAGTGACATACAGAGGAAAAACCTTGGAAATGATCTGCAGTTCTGTTTGCATTAAGGATTTTGTGAACTGAAGTCAGTTTCTGATCACTTCACAGTTCAAGCTTTAAAAAGCAGTGAAAGCAAAGTTTTATTGTTGTAATAAGCTTGAAATTGGACATGGGTGTGAAAAAAGCTATGCAGTTTTATGGTAATAAAGCTATTCTTGGAAATAAATCTAAATACGTAGCAGAGGCGGTTATTTCTGTTCCAGCTTGTCCTACTTCCAACTTTCCTTTATGAATGTTACATCTGAACATGTTTCAGAGAGAAAAAGTGAGACTGGATGTTTTCTTGCAGAGATCCATCTCTCGTTAAGCTTGAATGGTGAAAAAGTCTCTTGCTTTGCTTAAAATGTACCCTTATCTCTGACGATGCTTAGGAGAAATACAAAATATATGCGTGACTGAAATCCAAGCTAATGAGAAAGTTGATCACTGCTGTTGAAATGTTCACGATTGTTCAATGCGTTCGTAATCTGTTAAATACAAAAGAGCAATTTGTAGCTTGCTTTCCACATGACAAAGCTATTACAGAACTCGGTGATCTAGATGATGGTATAGATTTTTATTGTGGTGTCATTTCCAGGGAGGTGGTTGAGTCACCATCCCTGAATGTGTTTAAAAACTGTTTGGATGTGGTGCTCAGGGACATAATTTGGGGGAGGGTTGTTGGAGTTAGGGTAGTATGGGTAGGTTGTGGTTGGACTTGATGATCTTTAAGGTCTTTTCCAACCTGAGCGATTCTATGATTCTCTGGTTCTAGCTATCAGTTTTATTAGGATTAAACTACTTAGTGAGAGCACTTGGACATGTGAATGATGAACCATCCCAAGTTCATCCTTAGCAGTTGACTACGTCTTGCTTTGGGAACCAGCTCTCTGTTTGGAACTTAAAATCTTTCTTTGAAGTTCTTGGTTGTGAATACCAGCCCAGTTGGGGGAGGCTAGTAATATTTTACATGGTGTGTTAACAGCCATTAAGATAGTTGTTCCTGCTCTATTCGCCATTGTGTGTTTTTGTTTGCTTAATGGTAGTGATAAAACTTGCGTAACTGAAGTTGCAGCTTCTGGAAGTCCTCTGGGGTCTGTTTACCTTGAGCCTTACCTTAGAAACAGTGTCAGGTTGCCTTCACTTCTGGATATTTACATCGTTGTCTTCTGCTTTTCCTCCTTGTTGGAAGATGTTCTGCTGCTGATGTTTGTAAGATTTTGCCTTCAGAAACTGTAAACTGTTTTCCAGTATCTAAAAGGGGCCTGCAAGAAAGCTGGAAGGAGCTCTTTTTATCAGGGAGAACAGTGACAGGACAAGGGGTAGCAACTTCAAGAGGATATGTTTAGATTAAATATTTAGAAGAAATTCTTCAGTATGAGAGTGTTAAGGCTCTGGAACAGGCTGCCCAGACAAGTTGTGGATGGTGCTGTCCTTGGAGGCATGCAAGACCGGGTTCTGTGCGGTTTTGAGCAACCTTATCTAGTGGAAAATGTCCCTGCCCATGGCAAGAGGCTGGAACTAGATGGTCTTTAAGATCTCTTCTATCTCACATGTTTCCATGATTTGGAGGTTTGCATGGAGGGTGTTAATAATTAAGGCAGAGCTAGTAGCTGTCACATGAGACAAATCTGAGTTGTGCCTTTATAAGATCATAGAATCACAAAGGGTGGAAAAACCTCCAAGATCAATTAGTCCGTATTTTGTTCCATCAGTTACTACTTTGAACTCCTGTGAAGTTGTTTGGCTTGCTCTGCTTGACATGTTTTAGGACATCAGTCTTGATGAGTAATCATAATTTCAGGTCTGAAATGCAATTTCGTGCACAGTAGAATCTTGGAAGGGAAAGAAAATTTTTGGTTGCCTCTGTCCTCATAAGTTTATTTTATTCATTAGTTGATAGTAGAGTTTAAGGCTTCTTTGACTGGCTTTGTTAAAGTGAAGCTAAGCTTTTCTTTAGCAACAAGCTTAGCTAAAAGTGTTTTTGTTTCAACACATTTCAAAAGAGAGATGACACTGACCTTCAGAGCTGCTTTCCCTTTCAGTTCTGAGAGTGACAACAATAAAAGAAATTATCCTTTTTTTAATTTTTACTTTAAAGCTTTTTTTTGCTCTTCGGCTGAATTATTTTAGAAAGGAAAGTTGTATCCCTGGAAGAATTGCTTCTTATATTGAATTTATTTATGATCACGATTGTTTGCCAGACTGATATTAAGACTGCAGTATTTGATCCTAAGACAATCCAAATATTCACCACTGAATGATGGCAAGTTTTACTTTGAGAACCTCAGGATGTTTTTTTGAGTATATGTTCTGTGAATAACCAGTTCTCCCTCCTGCCATTTACTTGTAGACACCATTTACCTTTGGCTTGGGCCAAAGGGCACCATATACAACTGGCGAGCATTGTCTTCTTTGTAGAAGTGAACGAAAGGATAGTTCGCTTTCAGAGAGCGGAATAAAAAATTCTAGCAAAACAGCACTTTCCACATCTCCAAAAGCAAACAATATGCTGCATCTTCCACTGTGGGTGTGTCCAGACTGTAGGCGAACAGTCGAAAAGGAGGAGAGGCATGCTACAATAGAGCAATCTCTTGTGGTAAGTTGAAGTAATTCAATAGAATAAGATGATGTGCTGTGAGATGCTGAGCGCTACTTTGTGCTTTGGAACCACTTCAGCTGCAAGTGCAGAAATGGCATTTCAGTTGGTCTTGAGGTTTTTTCTGTGAGCTAAATGAAGCAGGTAAGTTCCACGTGTTTGAAAAATGGGGAGTTTCAAGTCTGAGATTCGGATAGCTGAATAGAGAAGTTTCTCGTGCTGTTGTTTGTTATTGTTTCTTTTTCCTTAAGAAAGGACAACTTTTTATAGTGTGCATGTAACAATAATTTGTTTGCAGCACTGCAGACACTGCTTTAATATCCAGTGTAAATATTTCAAGCTGCCTTTCTTATTTAGTGGTGGTTTTTTTTAATTAACTGTTAAAATATGTTCTCAAAGGAGAATTCAACCTCATAAAGAGTTGTCTTCTCATGACTAAGATACAAAAAGTTTGATGTCATGTCCAGTGAATTCCATTTGACTTGAACTGCAGTATTATACCAAAAAACCAAATCTTCACATATGATTTGGGTAGCCTTACATTTCTGATAATAGCCTGTGGGCATATACAGACTTTATTTCAGTAAGCATATCAGTGTGAAATAAGGTTGTTTTTGTATAGTGTATGCAGTTGAACTCAAATTAACATATGAGTTCCTATGGAGTGTAATACGGAAGATTTAAGAGTATGTCCTTGTGCCTACAGCTGAAGATTGCTAATTTTCTTACTGTTAATAAGGCTTATGGAAATTAATCCAAAAAGATTATATCAAAGGGGGTTATGTTGGTAGCTGGATGATAATATATTCTAGAGATGCCAAAGAACAGCTGGACTGAAGTACATTATTGTTCAACTGAGTAAAAAGTTCTGACGCATTTCACTGTAACTGAGCTCAAATGGAAAAGAAATCATCCTGCATGTGCAAGCAAGGCAGAACTTGCTTTGTAAAAGTCTTGTTCAGTTAAATATACTCTAGATAAGATCAAAGTGGTTGGTATCTGGGAAGAGGAATTTTTAAAAGCAAAGTGTCCTTCAATTCCAGCAACTTTAAAAAGCACCTAACTGGATGAAATGCCTAGTCACTTCTGGAAAAAACAGCCAGGGCGGAGTGGGGGGGAAGCTCTGAATTCTGTTCAGTCACTGTGAGCCAGAGTGTGAGTGGCTTGCTGCAGATGTTCTTGTGCTCAGGCTGCTGTTGCTGTCGTTGCCATGATGTTCTGATGCTTGATTTGCCTCAGCACCAGCCACAGTAGCTGCACATACCGTTGCTGATGGATGTGTACAAGTTTGTTTTAATGTCTGTCTTATCCTGCTCCAGGATTTGGGGTGAAGCACAGAAATCCGTTCAGTTCTCATAATCTGAGAGAGGTTTCTGCCTGGCATCACAGAAGGTGGTGGCAACCTGGGGAGGGTGTTGGAGGGGCAGCGTGGGTCCGTGGGTGGAGTGCAGTGGAGGAACAGAAACTGGAGACTGAAATACCAGCAGCCTCTGGAGAGAGCGGTGTCATTTGTTAGCAGTGAGCAGCACTGCACACAGGAGATGGAAAGCTGCTGTGACTGGGAACTGATGCTAACATCCATTGTGGTCAAGTAATATGCCTTGCTGTTATATACAAGGAGATTTTATGCTTTCTGTGGAATGGGTTGTTAAACTAAAAGAATCAAACACACTGTCAAATAAGAGACTGAAGAGATATTACTAGTTTATGTGGTTAATTGTGGATGATGCAATCCTTCTTCTAGCTTAGTTCATTGTTTATGCTGGAGTGCATAAAAGTGATAATTATAACCAACGTGCTTCAGTTATTAGAAATGAAACTATTTACATTGCTGGCTTTCTCAGTCCATCTTGTGCATTTATTAGGCTTTTCAAAGATAAATCCTTTGTGGCCAGTTGAGTCTTCTCCCAAAAAATATTCAGCACTAAGAAATGCCATGTTATTTGCCTACATATGAACATTTCACACTTGAATCTTGCAAACCAAAGTTGCTACCAGTTTGTTTTTTTTTTTTTCTTTCAGAGCCAAGATTTCCTTTTGCACATGCCTCTTGGAAACAGTGGATCACAGCAGGAATCTGTAGGAGGAGGAAGGATAACTGTTGGTGCTCAGACAGTGCCTGCTGCTGATCTTAACAATTCCTCTCCTTCAGACATAGCATGCAACTGTGAGGCCTGTAATGAGCGCAGGTAAGAACTGAATTCAGACTTAGAATAATGCCTGTACTCAGACTATCAGCAGTCTTGTGGCTTAAATGGGGCAATCTGACAATAGCAGTAACTTAGGGATGGTGGCTTTTATTCAATTTTTGATTTTATTTTCTGCATGTACTCTTTGGGCTGTTTTAGACATGATTTTCATGGGAAGAGTCTTCAGAATAGTGGAAATAAATACACCTGTTTGATGTACAAATTGAGAGGAGTTTTTTTTTTGTCATTGCTTGCAGAGAAATTTCAGCAGAGACTGAACGTGAATCTCAGCAGCTTCAAAATTACTGGTCAGAAGTAAGATACATGGTTCGATGTATCTATCGCCAAGCTGGGACCCCTTTGGCAGATGACCAAGACCAATCTTTGGTACCAGATAAAGAAGGAATGAAAGAGCTGGTGGACAGGTATAGCACTTGAAAAAAACTACTTATTAAATACTAAAAGGTGTCTTTTAATGAGTACTAAATTAGTGTATTTCTTTTTTTACCAGCTGTAAGTCTGATGGCTTAGAATGATTGCCTCTCAACTAGAATGAGAAGTTATAGAGGTCAGCTGTATTCCATGCAGGATTTTAAAGTACTGGATTGAGTGTGTGAAATATGTGAAAAATGTTTATATGCATCTGCAATAGGAATATTAGTGAATAATTATGAAAAGATCCCAAAAACATTAATCCTCAAAAGATATTGAAATGATTACTAGTAATAATAAGTCTGTCTGGCTTGGATTTCCCCACAGGAAACACCTTTCCTTGCTGAACTAACTTGGTTTTATAATAGTGATTGCATTCTGTAGTAGTTGTAGCAGCTAGAAGTCAGAGAAGGAAAAATTTGGACTTTGATCATTAGGAGAGGCAGATTATGAGAAGTTTGTTTTCATATCAGAAACTGAAAGTGCATCTTTTTCTAGGTGTAAGTCAAGGATATGCTTTTGAATTCTTTGTTTGTTTGTTTGTTTGTTTGTTTTCCTTGGGAGACAGCCACACTGTTTTCTTAAGTGCTCCAGCATATTCACTTCATTTTCTGTCCAGTTTATTGTGTGGAAAAAAGAGTAGATTCTCTTATTGACTCTGTACTTAATTTACAAAGGTCTGGCTGGACTAAGCACCCGTAGTTCTTAAGCAGAATTTCTACTTGAGGCAATGCTGGTAAGGTTGAGAAATTTTTTGAAAGATTCTAATCTAGTACAGTTCTTTGTGACTGTATTTCCGAATGAGTCTTAATAAATACTTGAATAATCTTTTTGTGCTCTTGCTATAAAAACTGAATGCTCAGTTTTGAACGTGAGTTGTGTAACTGTAGAATATATGCCTTCCTGTTAGTCAGACTTGGTTTATTTAAACTAAGTGATCAAAACATGCAACATAGCTTTTGAAATCAAAGATTCTTAAATTGTAATGTAGTGTCTAATTAAAACTGAATCACAGCTATAGTTTTCCTTAATGGAAGAGCTTTGAAAACTGTAGTCCGTATTTTGTAGCTTTCTTATGTACATGGGTGCCTTTCTCTAGAACTGCTTGTTACTGTTGAGAAACATGATTAAAATACAAAAGGCAAGAAGATCCCAAAAAAGAAGACTTTCAATATTGCTATGTTTTTTTCACTCTAGAATTTCTTGTAGTCTTCAAATAATGAAATAAAGTTAGGATGCTTGGATAGTACAGACACTGGTGAGTCCGGTCTGTGATGCTGAGGTCACCCAAAAATTTAACTGAACTTGTCAGTATAGGTACTGAAAATGACTTTTGTTTTTAAAAAGTAATAATGGAAAAAAAATATATAGTAGCATGCCAGATATGCTATGGCTAGTTTAAAAGGCAAATTCCTTATTAATAGCTTAATGCTCAGCTGTGTTAAATGCAATTGAAGAAAAAAATTACCTGCTTTGTTAAAAGTAAGCAGTGGTGCTAAGTACTGTCCCTACTGTACATTGTAGCAGTTCATGACAGCATGTCATAGTCTGTTTTATAAGTGATGAGGGAAGAGCAGGGACTAGACAGCAGTGAACTTATTCATTTAATCTCTTTGTTCTTCCTCACTTCCCTGCACTCCAAAAACCTGAGACAAATGCTTAAACCCCAAGCCACGGGACTTTGAATAGTACAATTTCACTTTTAAAGTGCTTCAAAGCAGCCATCGTGTCCAGTGGCTCATTCTGAGTATTGCTTTGGTAGAAAGCTCTGAAGATGGCTGACTCGGATCTTGTTCCTGCTTTTAACTTAAGTGCCCACTGAGATTATGAATTATGAAGTCCTTTTAGAGGCCGGTGACTAAACCTTTGTTAAGTGTGAGAGCTCTCTTAATGTATAACTCTTCTTCTGTATGCCAGTTTAGGCTCATGTTATCTCCCCCCACCAAGTAGTTGTGCCCAGACACACCATCAGCAGGAGGCAGTTCTTGTTGGACAGTGTTCACGTAGTGCTTCAGCTGGAGTACAAAATTCTTCAGTGTTGGGATTTTTGGTGTAGCCCTCAAAGCACCTGTCCAGGAGCCAGAGAACCATTTTCCTCTATGTGAGGTGGTTCAAACCCATCTCTCATTTCCAGGACGGTGTCAGACAGCTCTGTGCTGTCCTATGCAGGAGGTCCTGACCCTCTCAAAAGCTGTGTCTTTCAGTATCTGCAATGCTTCTTACTGCATGGCTGAAAGAATGCATAGAGGGCAGTGTATATCTAGAGCCTTTATGTTAGTCTTCTTCCTTAGAACAAACAGCTTCCAAGTTCTGGTCTCTACCCTGGATTCAAAACAAAACTGAAATACAGTCACCTATCAGTTCTAATGATTGCAGCTTATGTGCTAAATAGTACCATAAGTCATGTTCTGTGAAGGACATCGTGTATGACCCTGTGAATCCTGTATTGTCTCTTTGTGTAGTAACGTACTTTTAATAAAAGTGTAAAAAATGTTTTTGTACAGAAGATCTGCAACTTAGGGTAAGAAACTTGATGAAAGTGAGTTTAATGAATGAGTGTGTTAAAAATGTGGTAGTTGTATGAGTTGTCTCTTTCAGTTGAATTTAGCAATAGAAGAGTCACACAAAGCATTCACTATTGAGTCCAGTCTGGCTGGTATGTGTTTAGGCAAATGCTGACTGCCTAATGTGTCAAGCTTCTCCAATAGCTTGAGGTAAAGGAATGTCCTACATACATTAATTGAGCCCAGATCTGGCTGTTCTAAGTGGGACGTTTATTAAGGCTGTATGGAAGAATATGAAGAAGCTCTAAAGAAGTATGTCTGTAAAGCTGCGTGCCAAATAAGTAAGGGTTTTTAGCTCACAACTAGTAGTGAAGCAATGAGGTCCTAGATTAATTTGTTCCTCAGGTGCAAATGTCCTTTGCTACGTAGGAATTGAGTTCCATAGTGTAGAGTTAGGGAACTGCGCTGTGTTCTCCCGAACCCAGGGTAGTTCTGTAAACCCTAATCATTGTTTCTTTTTTGTAATAATAATGATGATAACCGCTAAATGTTTTTAGGAGACTGAAAATTGTTGATTAGGTATCTTTTTTAATCACAAATATTCTAAAACTACAGGCTTTGTGAAAGAGATCCATATCAGCTTTACCAACGGTTGGAACAGCAAGCTAGAGAATATGTGCTTGAAATGAAGGTCCGTCTGCTCAGACACTTGTCACTGGGATCTAAAGTTGCATCAACGTTAGCAATACAAGGGCCACCACAGGCACATCAGTTCATCTCACTCCTACTTGAAGAATACAGTGCTCTCTGTCAGGCAGCATGCACAATCAGCGCCTTCCTAGTTACTCTGGTAAGACTGAGAAAACAACCTGATAGGAGTGATGCTAGCTGAGCTGTTTCTGGGTTAAGAAGTCATCTGTGATTTGTGAAATGTGAGGTCTGTGTGCACATGGTTGGAAGTGAAGGACAGTCTGAAAATGCAAATTCCATTTTTCACAAATGGAGGTCAGACATCTCCTAAAATGAATGCATTGAAAATTGTGTGAAGGAAAAGGTGGCATGTTGTACGTGTTCTGAAATCTGCAGAATTTTAGATAACTCCACTGAAGAGTGATTATAGCATTTCTCCATTGATTTTTCACTCTTCTCTTGAGAACCCCATTTAAAGGATGCAGACTTCTATGTGTAGCACTAAATCAAATTGTTTTAATGTTTTTGTGTTATTTTCCTTAAAAGCAAGAATTGCTACTTGGAAAGATGACCTTTTCTCAGGAATTAATATTCTGTCTAATTGTTTTTGTCAGGTCACTGTGCTGAATTTTATTGGCGGGTAGAAAATGAGCAGTAGCCTCTTCTTGTTAAACTGTCCATCATGTGCAATTAATACAGTAAACAAATGTTACTGTTGATTGATAACTTTGGTCCTTAAACCTTTTCCTATACGTTCATTTCCAATAGCTGTGTCCAGTACTTCCTTTTTCTTGTAAGTGGTGAAATTTTGTGTTGCCAATTAGGTAAAAGTGATTGCCCGGGGATGTAAGAGAGGAAAAGAGCAGTAAGAGATCACAGATAGGAACTATGAGATGGAGGGGAACCTGTGTGTCACTTCTGAGGAGGGACTGTTGTGAAATGAAACTGACTGAAGCGAGATGTCTCTGTAGAAACGCAGGCATATTTGGTGCTTTTTGCTGTTGTCAGTGGTCTGTATTTATTATTCACTGCATTCTCTTTCCCAACTTTATCACTTGGATGGAGATGTGTGGTCACTGCCATTTCCCATTAATTGGCACCTTTTAAGTAATTAAATCTAGGTGCTGTAGAAAAAGTAACTCTTCAAGCTGGTGTGGCAGGGGAACTTACGAATTTTCAGCTGCAAAGCAAATGGATTACAGTACAAAGGTTTGCTTTATCACATTAGATTCACCAGTAATGAATTCAGTAGTGCCAGAATTATACAGCCGATCAGAAAATAGTCTTCTCATATTCCTCCTCTGGTGCATATTATCAGTCAGTGTTCAAGAAAACTTTGCAGCTATAGGAAAGTAGGATAAAGACTTTGAGACAGAAGATGCCTATCTTCTCCAATGTTTCTGTTTTTTTTGACAAAATTCAAAAAGTAAAGCAAAAGGCCTCTTGTCTTACAAATATTTTTTTAAAAAAGCATTTTATAGTAGTTGTGAATATTTTGAAGTTAGAGTATTCAAACTGATATGGTGCATTGTCTCTTGTGCAGCTGGGAGGCAAAAAAAGCAACGTGTCTAAACAATAACAGCTAAAAAAGGACCTCAAACTTCTCAATTCTTTTTTTAAATCTTGATATTCTAGTATTGAGATCCTATGTAAACACATTAATTTTTTAAGCCACCATGCTAAACAAAACTTTGAAATTCTGAAGTATTCTTTTATTTCTGGCTCCTCAAAGCTATAGTGCATAGGCCTTGCTTGCTGATCTGATAGAACAGTTGCATTTAACTTTGCTGTATGAGAGAGTCCTAATACAGAAAAAACTGTTTACTGCTATCTGTGTATGGAAGAAATTAACTTGAAAGAAAAATTGTTCCTGTCTTTGAATCGTAATAATAGATTTACTTTCTAGGTCTTGAAATTCAAGGCATTTGTATGTTAAGTAACCTTAATTAGAGAAACGTTATAAAAAGTGAGCAGTTGCTCCCTTGGCTATTTAGAAAACGTGCATTTTTGAAGCAATTGCACTTTGAAAGAACTCTGCTTCACTTCTGTCAATTTTAAATAAAAATTACAGCTTGTCACCATGTCTGTTACTAGATAGGTGAAAAGAACTGAGAAGCAATAACTGATTCATGAAATAAATCTTACAGTGCATAAAAGAGTGTAAGCTTTCAACAGCACAGTCTGTTTTTGTTGTTTTTTCCCTATCCATGACAATTTAGAAAAGGTATGAAGCTACATCTGTTTAAAATATTAATCATTAAATAAGCGTTCTGTATTTTGAATATTAAAATGAAGTAATATCTCAGCTGGATAATGCAGCCTGTTGGTTGAGAGATTTAATGGAATATATATATATATATCTGACATGAGAAAAGCATTTTTTTTGCTTTGCGTTTTATAATCTGAGCGTATTTGTGGTTGTTATTCATTATAGGAAAATGAACATTTGAAGAAATTTCAGGTGACATGGGAATTGCACAACAAGCATCTGTTTGAAAATCTGGTATTTTCTGAGCCACTCCTGCAGAATAGCTTGCCAACACTGGTGTCACAGCTAAGGTAAAGATTTAAACTTCATTTTTGTAATTTAAAGAGGAAAGCAAGAGCTATGTTTGCAACCACCATTTAAAAAAAAAAACAAAAACAAACAAAAAAAAACAGGCAGCGACAACAAAACGAACAAGTCTGCTACTCGTCCAGCTTGATAGGTAAAAAGTCTTGTTGATCTGTTTTCAATTGAGCAACCTGCTGTCATGACTTGCTTGTCAGAATTACTGCTCTACTCTCCTTTACTTGTAGGTTACCTAATAAGATGACAGTGTCCTAGTAAAAAATATCCTCACTTGTCAAAAGGCACTGGTACTGTTTCCTTTTCTCTACAAATGAATAGATGGCTAAAAGAAAACACACACAAACAAAACAAAAAACCCACCCTAGCTATGTGCTTGTAGATTGCGTGGCATATTGCATTTCCCAGGACTTTAGAATGTGTGCTTTGTTATCCGGATGGTTCTATTTGTTTTGTGTACCTGAAAGTGCTTGTTTTGTGAGGGAAAAGTATTACTGATGTAAAGAAATATTGTTATTCATCTTGAGTTCTGTTTAATCTCCATAACGTACAGCCACATATTGCTCATGTTGACCTCTCAGACTTGTTTCTGATGAAGGTGTTACTACTCTCTGTATATTTGTCCCAAGTGTGTTGTTTTGGGTATTTTTTTCCAAGCTACGAGAACAATTTGATTTAGCATCTCCATTGCAAGAAATGTTCCTTGTGGTATATGAAGAAACTTCTAAGTTACTCTTTTGCTAGCAGTTGTTAGAAAGGAAAGCAGGGAAACTTAATTGTCACTGGACTCAGTACTGGGTTGCTACCAAGGCCCCATTTTTCTCTTTCGGGCAGGTAATTCTGTCACTCTGTTAAACGTGTTGTTCAGTTGCATGCTTTCCCTTTGATCTCTTTGATCTGTGCTTGACTTCCCAGTACTATTTTCAGTGACGCTGTCTTCAGCCACCTTGAATGTTTTTTGCCAAGGCTTCTCTGCACTTCTTGATCCATCAGTTTCTGGTTTATTGAGGCTTTTGATACTTTACCTACAGAGATAAGAATGGTCTTATGTGAAACTTAGAGTCATTTCTTAACAAAGGTGTTGGAATGCTTGTGTTTACCTTGTTCTCAGATGCTACTGGAATTCAAACCTAAGCAAGAGAAGTTGTTTCCTTACAGATCTTCACTGTAGTGACAGCTATCATCAAGTTTTAAAGACAGAATCCTCTTCCTTCAGGAATTCCTTTCTGGATATGTCTGTGTTTCCTGGGTAGTCTTAAGAGTGTTTCAGTTAAGAAGCAATGGTTTTGCCAGCACTGATTCTCTCGAGCCTTGTTGAAAGGAGAGATTCAGCACAGACTTCTCCTATTCCATGATTTCTATCCTGTTTCTTCTGTAAGCATGGACTATTGCTGTTACTTTTCATATATTGCATGTTTTTTACTGATCTTTTTAGGCCTTAGTCTTTCCTGAAAAATTGGAGTAATTTGCCTTCTATTGGGAATTTGGTATCTTATACAATAGAGGATGTCATAGCAGAGGCCTCACTTGGGCAAGCATCAGAATCAGTCTAGCTTCCCAATCATTTCTTATTGAGTAGCAGATGAGTATTGGCTTTTTTTCACTGTTTGCTGCTGCTTTCATACCTTTAAGAACCTTTCTTTGAAGGAATAATGCCCAGTTTACAAACTGGGTTGCATTTGTAGAGTGGTGATCTGTAATGTGTACACTAGAAATTCCCAAGGAAATGAGAGGTTCAGCCATTTCAAAGAGGGAAGATCTGAGTAGTTTGTGTCCAACAGATGCCATAGATTTTGTAGCTAAAATCCTTTTTATACATGCATAATTGTGTTTTTTTTTTGTTTTTTTTTTTTTAAATTTTTATTTTTTGAGAGTCTGAGGTTCCTTAATCACCTAACTGGTCTTATTTCTAGATGTTGCATCTATCAGCATTTCAACAAACAGGCTCTTGCTATTTTGCTAGTTCACAAAAGAAGAGAAAACATCTTGGTTGGGATAGATCTTTTAACCTATCACAGAAATATTCCTAAGCTCAGACGTCAATAGTTCTGGAAACTCTATTTGATGTGATACAATTACAATAAATACTTGCATTTTAATTGTTCCTGTAGCTGTCATGAAGAGATTGCTCTGTCTGAAATGTTCAGAAATTTGAGACTCATTTGAATAAATCTCTTATTGAATTGTTGCCTTAAGCACATACTTCAATTTAACTGCAAAGCACTGGAAAACTCTTTAGAAGAGTTTGCAGGAGTGTTATGTAGTCTGCTTTTTCTACAAAAAGGCATTTTGGACTTCATGTATTTTCTCAACAGAAACCTATTCCTCTTATAAATTCTAGGAGTAATCACCTGTTTTCTTTCAAGCTTATTGAAGTACAGGTGGTCTTACTCCTTGTTTAGGATACAAAATGGACTTTCTTTTGGCCACAGTCCAGATTCCTGATTAGTCCCTTTCATTTCTTCCCACCCCACACAAAATAACAAATGGCAATAAAGTTGTCTGGTAGGGGTATTCTTCTGGTTGTAATCCTAATTGACATGTAACCCTTTTCAATTTTGCCTTGATGCAGTTAGAAAGTCTTTCTTTTAAGCAATAGATAAAGTGCTGCCAGAGTTCCATGACAGAAGACATTGGCTTCCTTGTTTTATTCTTCTCAAGATGTGAAATAGTGTTGTTTTGGCATCTTGGCTTTATTCAGATTTTGAGCATTCACCCCTTTCTTTCATCCCTTAGCTAAATTACTACATCATTTGTATGTCTCTGGCTTTTTCAGAAGACTTGGAATTATCACAGCACACCAACTAAAGTATTTATCAAATATGTTTGACATCTGCAAGATGTTCTCTTAAGGGCACTTAAATATAGGCAGTCTTGGGGGGGAGATGGGTTAACTAGATGATACAAGGTTAGCTGTTCCAGGGCTGGTCATCTACTCAGTGTGGACTAGCAGGATCTTAGCAAACTGCAGCATGTTCTGCTGCCTTTGGTTTCTTTAGGAGTTGTGTTGAGTTGTGCAGTCTGCAGATAGCAATAAGAACTGCCCATATGCTTAGAAGCAATTAATCAATCAGGAGGACTTTTAGATTAGACACTATAATTCGTAAGGGTTTATTTTCAGTATTTAAAGTAATCCTATCACCTATTTGTTTACACATGCCTTGGGGATTCCAACACATTTAATGACAGCATGTAAATGTGTTGATCTCTACTCAAGAGTCACAGTAAAAATTGAAGGTATTGACTCTGCTGCATTGTTAACAGGAATCTTTTAAAAAGTTTTACTTGTAACTTCAAATCCTACTTAAGTTAGACTTTATGCAGAACTGATCTTTGTAAGAATAGTACTATTCAGTGGCAGCTCTGAGAATAAATTTGACTCCTGTGAAGTAAGGATCAGAATTTTGCACAATGTTATATAAAGAAAAACCACAGGCTTTAGGAAAAGGAGTGAATTGTGATCTAAGATTAGGAGTTGTCAGTGCTTGGACTGATATTCAGGAAAAATCATGAAAAATCATTGATTCTTAAAATGGCCATATGCCTTTGAAGTAGTTTTTGCACCCTATCATAGGAGGATTTCCTGAGCTTCTAGTGTACAGAATTGTTCACATAGCCTTCTAAAGTGGTTGTGTTGCAGGTTGCAAAACCAACAATATGAAACTTGAGTTCATTGGTGAAGTGATGTTTAAGGGCCGTAAGTTAATGATCGCTGAGTTCTGTTCAGCTTGTTTATACTTAATTGCCACCTTAAATTTAAGGGCTCATAGGCAGGGTGATAGGTTCTTGGTTTGGATTAGCATCCTGTTGTGGTTGAAATCTGTGACAAACCTCCCAGAAATGCTGGATCTTGCTTTGATGTCAACTGTTAAGATGTTTGGGATTTGGTTTTGGCAGTGGCTTGTCAAGCCCTTTGACCAATGTACAACCTCTGTGCCTAGTTAAGTGTCAGCTGGTTTCTCCTTAATTACCCAGTAAGAGTAATGTTGAGGAGCTTTAGTCTGTACCAATTCATAGGTCATTACAGTTCAGTGTGCTTTAATCTTATACCTAAGATAATTTTGACTTCTCCTTGTTTTTGTAGTCAAGATTTAGGGAGCTTGCTTATTTACTTGAGTCATTGTGACGATGTGCTTTACAGCAAATACCATAAATAAGTAAATCAATTACGAAAGCAAAGTATTTGAAAAGAAATGAAGTCTTTTTCCTGGGACCCCTTTTGGGGACAGCCATCAGTGAATGGCATAAATGCATTTTGAAATTGATGTTGCATCTCAAGTGTTAGTAGATTACTGCATACAACCAAGTTATTTCTCTTGCATCATTTCACAGTGTTTTCCCCAACTGGACCTCCAGTTTGTCTAGTAATGTTTTTAGCATTGATCATGAGAGTTCAGATTAATGAGCTTCTGGCTTTATTTTTACAATCTAACTATTCAGTAAACAGTCAACAGGTATATTTAGCCTGTAGGATTTGAAAGGATAAATGTATCAAGCATTGAAATTTTGAGAGTAAGTATTGCTCGGAAGGGTTGACATCTGGTTACCCATTGGAAAGAGGCTCCAGAAAGGTTGCACTTCCCACATTCTTTCTATTATTGCTTATAGAAAACTGGAACAATTGTTGGGTATTTTTTGAAAAATGACTAAAAGTATTCGTTTTGAGATGCAGGCAGCTACGTGGGCCTAGGTGTATCAATAATTGCACTTCAACATTTTATGGACTGGTAGAACTATGTGTGATTGTTTTTATTGGTTTATTTTTTTTTTCTTCCAGTCAGATATCTCATGTGTAACAAGTGCTGCTTGATCTTGTAGGCTTGGAACAACACACGATTCCTGTAGTGAAGATATGTATAGTACCTTGCTACAAAGGTATCATCAGCTGGAACAGGAAATGGGGCAAGTTGCTGAAGCATGGCTTGAATGCCAGAAAAGAATAGATGATTATGTTGATGAACAGGTAAGAACTGTGTAAACAGTTTCATGACTAATTATGTTGGGAGTGGCCCATGGAAGGCTGTGCCTCTGGTGATGAGTTTCTTTGGTATTGCTTTCCAGAGCTTTGAAGCTGCAAAATGTAACCTTTTTAGTGATGTCGGTCTTTCAAAATAGAGAAGAACTCTAATATGCCAGAATGGAACAGTAATTTTACAAAAATACCATCAAGTTATTGTAGCAAGTTGTTATGCTGTGGCTTGGAGATATTTTTGAGTGGCTTTCGTCTATAAAACACTTGTAGTGCATGAATATGAAACTTTCTTCCCTAGTTATTACTAGGGGGAGAAAAATCCCTGAATACTAGGCTTCAAAAATAATTCCATTGAGTGAAATTAATAAGAAGAGATGGCTTTAAAATGACTTGTATTTATACATGTTTTGTAGCATGACAGTGACCTTTGTACAGCTTTCAAAAGCAGAGCTTGTAAGTCTCACTACAGAAGTATTTGAGACATCTGTGGTCACCTGCTTTTTAATTGTGAGTTTTCACAGCTTATTCTGTGCCTATGCTGTTTTACAGAGCATGGTGTTACTGTTCTGATTCATGTATTATCAAGAGCTTGCTTTTAGAAAAGTTTGCTGTTTATTTGGAAAGTGTTTACGTTTTCCTAAAGTTACTTGCTTTTTGTCCCTAGTTCAAACAACTTGAGTAACTGAAGGTAGAGTTTTATAGATCTACTTGTATTTTGAAGTTTTATGAGCATTACAAATACGGAGATCTAATGTAAGTCTTACTAATGCTACACTACTCTTATGAGTAGTAAGATGCCTTCAAGTGTTATAGTAACACTGTAGGACATTTTAGTCCTTCAGTGGCTCTTCTGTGTGATAACGATTTAAGTAAATTTCTAGTAATTTCAGAGCCTTCAAGATGGAGATGATGCATAACTTACTTTATTTTTGGAGATTGTTCTATATTTAGGGTCTGCATCACTGAGCTATCAATTACCAAGTTTTTTCTTGGTCAGGCTGCTTTTGTGCACCTAAATAATAGATGGCAGCTCAGTGAAATTTCTTATGTTGTGTAACTACAATTCATTTTCCCTATGATATCAGGGTGCTGTGGCTGTCATTGCTGTCACAGTAAGAAAGGGATCCCAATTCAGTTCTCATCATGTTGGAACTTAAATATGAATACATTCTATAAAAATTGGTAATTTGCACATAGACAATTTTCACTGTCTCTCATTAAAACCTATGTTGATGTTATCTGTGGATGGTTATTATACTTTTTTAATCAAAAATGTGCAATTCAGTATGACCATCTTACCTGCATTTGCAGGGATATTTTTGTCAAGTAGAAATTGGAGAGCCCAGCTACTATGGAAACTGTTGATCTTAACTGTGAATGCATGTTCATTTCTTGCTTCTTGGCTCAATAAAACAGTTAAGTTCTGTTGCTGGTGTATCAAAGGTTAGAACACGCAGATCAGCACAGATAAATGATCCTTCTTTGTCTTTGGAACTATACCTCAATGTTCAGACAAGGAATCAATGGAGATAATACAGATCTCTCCTATGGTGTTTTGATGCTTGTTCTATACGAATAATGCAGTTTTTTAAAAGACTGTAAGACAGCTGTATCACACACAGGCTTGTAGTACTAATGCACTCCTCTTTCATGGGTGTACATTGTAATAAAATTCAAGCAAATCGTTTGTTTGTGTCAGCACCTTTATTTGTGACTAGCTCAGGTCTGAGGAAGATGTTCAAAGTATCTGAAATACAAGAGTTTAAATAAATGTAGTCTGTGCCTCCAGGTCCTAGTATTTTCCTTACCAAGTTTAGATTGTATTTAACTTGAGAAGTCTGAAATATATTTGGATCATTACCATAGGTAATGGCTAGATAATAATACGTACTCTGTGGGCATTTCCATTTTTAATACTGCTGGCTCCCACAGAATGAAGGAATACAGAGCTGCCTTTGCACAGCGCCTTGAGAGCACAGAGTTTCTTGTTCAGCTCTCTGTTGAGGTTGTTAAGAGTCCTGGTGAGCAGAGTAGAAAATAATTTTTGTATTTTCAGGCATATTTGTTGGTGTTATTTTGTTATCTTTATACTATCTACGTAAATCAAACAGGGTAGGAAATTGATCACTTTGACAGATGGAATTTAGGGTGCTCAAAGGTACTGTCCGCATGTGATAGATTTTAAAGTATCACAGGATATTCGATGCTTCCAAACGTGTGCAAGCATCAGAGTTTCTTGTAGGAGATCTATTGTTATATGTCAGTTCTGACCATACTTAGTTTTGTTTTATGATTAAATCTGTTTCAGAGGGAAAAAGTACTTATTCACCTGCCTGTCTCACCTAAGCATGTCTAATTGATCTCAAATGCTTGTTAGCCTTTGAATAAACAGGGCAGAAGGAAGAAGCGTGGCGGCGGACATTTTTTCCCCCATTGGGCAGCATTGCTAGTGTATTTGTTGCAGACGTGCAAGATTGAAATGTAAATTTTTCTTTTTGATACATCTGAATTTGTATCTCCAATGTCCCAAAAGATTTCTTGGGCATGAATCATGTGGTTTGTGTTGAAGCTGCTTTTGTTCTACTGAAATAACAAATATTCATGGGTGGAAAAAAAAAAAAAAGATGGTACAAGTGATAGCCTGTTATTCATGGAATTAATAAGATACTTGCAGACAGGGCTATAGGAAAGACTGCTAAGCTGGAAGTAGGAAAACATTAATTCCAGCTCCTTCCTCCATTAGTAGTTAAGAGTACCAAGAGTTAAACCATACTATTTTCCTTGTCAGTTTCTTGGCAGGCTTGATTGAGTAGGCAGCTCCCAGTTAATGCATTGGCAATTTTAAACAAGTGTAGGTGCCTGTCTTTAATGGTAACATGTCTGGGCATTGAAAGCTATGAGTTCTGTTGATTTTGAATGTAGCTTTAAGGTGCTCAGATGGCGATAATGCAACCAAGATGAAATCTCTCCCTCTTCTGGTCTCAGGCTCTGCAGTAATTAGTAGTGTCTAAGAAATGGTACCAGTGCTTCAAGGATATTTCATACATGCTGTTCTGTTTTAAAAGGCACATACATGAGCACAATTAACTCCTTTTTTTTTTTTTTTTTTTTTTTTTTTCTACTCCTGTAGCCTCACAGTACCAAGGGAAATCAAAATTCACAGTAGTAATTAGAATTGCATGCTGCTGATTGTGTTACAAATTGATTAGGTGAAACTCTGCCACTTAACGCTGTTTCATATTCCCAGTTTTAGAACTTCAGTTTCCCTGGTTAAATAATGGTAGTAGCAATAACTCCAATTAATATTCTGGCATACAACTTCAGTTCAAGTATGAGTTTTGAGAGACATTTCTGAAGAAAAAAGAAAGATTGCAGTGGCATAACCTATTGAACTCTGATTTTTTTTTTTTTTTTTTTAACAAATCTTTATGAAAAAGTTTGGTGTATTTATACATATACATATATTTTATTACGTATATTTATTTATAGTGTTAGAATTCTCTTTATTAACAAAATAAATGGAAAAAAAAAATAGATAACCTAAATAATTGATTTTCTTGACCAGCGAGCCAGTGCTCTTAAAAAGGTGCAACATACAGCAAGAGAAACTTTTGTTCTTGTGTTTTGCTCCGTTAAAGTTCATGGAAATTTTTGGGTTTTGTCAGTGAGTTTGTTCACTAAATTAAAAAAGGTTGTTTCCATGCAAGAAGTTGTGGACTCTGTGCATTTACAGTGTGATTTGAGGCCTACTTGTTATAAAATATTTTTCCAGCTTTAAGTAAATCACAGGCATGAAATACATAGAGATAAAAGGAGTAGTGTTAGTCGAGGTCACTACTTCATTTTATGTTTACTCTTCTAATTTTTTACACTCATAGATTAGTTCTACATGTGGTACATGGGTTGGCACTGTGCCTGTGTTGAGGCCTTGCCAAAACTCTTGTCACTACATTTTAATGGATTTCAGTGGATTTGAGATGTGGAAGATTTAATGCCAAGCACGAGTTATGAAAAATACTATGAAAATGCTTAATTTTTTGAGAGGAAGAAGCAAATCCATGCAAATCCTTAAGGAATAATAGTGGAAAAATCTGACTTAAAGTGTAAATGAATAAAAATTATTTATTTAACTGATTCAAATAGTAGGGTTAGGAAATAAAATAAGTGACTGAATATGCAAGTGCTTGAAAAATGATGCAGGTAAGTTACATTTCACAAAACTTTGATAGAACAACTGACTATAAGCATATGATCTCTGTGATTAAACCACTGAGTTTTCCTTTAATTCTGTTTTAGATGGCAATGAAAACAAAACAACGCATGCTAAAGGAAGACTGGGAATTTTTTAAACAGAGGCGTTTTATTGAAGAGCAGGTAGGATTTTTTTAAACCATGTTAAGTAATACTAATACTCCATGTGTATTTTCAAAATGCAAATGTTTGAGTATAGTGTATTACACTAGTTCTGTATGATCTGGTTGTGTGACTATGCCAGGCTTTAAACTTGATCAGCCAAAATTCAAAGCGAGATCCAAGAAGCGTTACTAAAAGGTAAAAACAAGCACTGTGGTCTTAGCACTGAATATGCAGTGTTAAAATTCTTGATGCTATGGAAGGAGAATTCTCTGTGCCTCTGAGTGGGATCTAAAACGTTGAGCATAGAGCTGCCTTGATGTACGTGATAGGGAGTATTGTGTTTGAGAATGTATCAAATTCTCCTGTGTATGCAGAGCTGCGGATTGAGAGAAACAGCAGCAGGGCAAGATGATTGCATTTATTCAGACTTTGGAGCTGGGAATCCTGGAGAGGGCTCTTAAATTTGTTCTGGGGGTAAAGCTTGAGCAGAGCTACCTGCTTGATTTTAAACTGTAGCCAGGGAGGGGCCAGCTGTACTTCTCTGTATCTGCTGTTTAAGACACACTCTATTCTCTAGCCTGAAATTGTTCAAGCGTGTATTATCCTTTCCATAATAGTATACAATGATTAGGCTAAAGCCAAGATTGGATCTCTGTTCATGTACCACTGTATGGAAAGACATGCTAGTCATGAGTTAGAGCGTATGATTGTATGTTTTAGTAAACTTAAGCTTAAATTGCTCAAAAAGGTCATCAGTACTTTTGTCTATATGGAACATAAGCATTTGTTAGCTGCAACTTCAGAGCAGCGGTTGAACAGGGCTCCTCAGAGGACTTGAGGAAAAATGCTCTTTTTACTTGATCCTAATTGGGCTTAAGTGAGCTGTAAGCAAATGGCTGCTTGGGTAAGGGTCAGATCTGAAGCTTAGGCACATCCTTGTTTAACCTAAGGTTTGTAGGTATCTAATGAAATTAAGTGCTTTCAGGATTAGGCCTCTGCCAGTTGGGGGTTATTTGGATTTTCTTTTTTTCACTAGAGTGGTGAAATCTTATTTTGGGCAGCTACTTCTTTGCTTGAGTTTATCCAGTTGTGGCTGCACAATTAGTCCTAATATTTTTTTCTTTGCAAGATAAGGATGAGTTTGCATTCTTTCTTCATTTGTCATCTGTGTCCTTTGTCCATACCATGAAACAAGATGAGAACTGCTCAAGTTCAGTATTTGTCAGCAGAAATACCATGCAGGATGCAGTTACAAATGACTAAAGGAGGTGGACATGACTACTTTACTTTTTCATAGAAGAAACACAGTTTCTTTTGAAGTTTGAGTGCCAAAAGTGTGTTGTTTGTAAATTGGAATCTTTTAACTTGTGGTTAAAACACTACTTTGATAAAACTTTCTTTTAAAATATCTTGCCCAAAGAACCCTTTTTTATTATGCCATTTGTTAATCAGATGTGCTATTGAATTGTTAATGGAAAGACTTGCACTACTAAAACAATGCCTTTATAATTTACTTCAGCTTAATAACAAGAAAGCACTAGCTGGGGAGAACAACTTCACAGATACAATGAGGCACATGCTGTCATCACGTTTGAGCATGCCTGACTGTCCCAACTGTAATTATAGAAGAAGGTGAGCAGATGTTTTTAACTTGAAATCGTAATAAATGATTCATTTCTTGTGTTAGAGGAAAAAAGGAAACATTATTGCAAGAAAGAGTCTGGTTACTTCAAATGAATGCTTGAAGGTCATAAAAGTGTGTAATCTTAATTCTTGAACAGATGTACTTGTGATGACTGCAGCCTTTCACACATTTTGACGTGTGGCATCATGGATTCTCCTATAACGGATGATATCCACATTAACCAGTTACCACTGCAAATTGATTCAGCTCCGGATTATCTATCTGAGATCCGCCCACCTAGTATGTCTTCAGCAAGTTCAGGATCGGGTTCCAGCTCACCTATAACAATTCAGCAGCATCCGAGGCTGATCCTCGCAGACAATGGTTCTGCACCAACTTTGTAAGTTCTCAGTTTTAAAAATTTGGAATACTGAATTGAACTTCAGAAGGCAAGTTATGCAGGCTGACCACCGTTAGATAATTCTGTTTTAACATCAGAAAATTATAAGAAAATAAGTTAATCCTGATACTGAATTCAGAAGTCCCCCAAGTCCAGTTCTATCCATTGTGAAACTAAAATCCTGATTTTTTTTTTTTTAATTTTCCGAAGATTTGGACTTAACAGCACTGCTAGATGTATGCATCATATGTACTTTTCTGCTTTGAGATTACAAGCATGCTTTAAGGCATCAGTTTAAAATAGCACATTTTCTTAATTTGAACAAGGTAAATGGTGATGTTTTTAATTTGAGTAATGGTTGCTGCTTATGATATATTTTTTCTTTAGTTCTTGAAAAGCTTTTATTAGGCTTCCTGAAGGCGTGTTAACTGGAGAATTGCATCAAGAGTTCTCCCTGTCAGAAGTGTTTGCCACCCTTTCTTATTTTGTTGAGATCACAGTGAGATTCGAGGCTTTAGTCTAATGGCAGACTTCTGTCTCCACCATAATTCTGGCAGTATAAAACTGGTTGATTGACTTCTGTATGCAGTTTGGGCGGAACTAGCCATCAGTCTCTAATCAGGTGAAATTCCAGAAGAATGTTTTAAAGAAATAGGAGGAAAAAAAAAGTCTTCAGTACTGGTAGGAATGCTACTGAAGTACATGATGATTGTACAGTCAAGGAATTGTCATTAGAACTGTGTTAATGTGGTGTGATGAATGATGGGAGCACAGATGAAGGGGATGCTTCTGATGAAATGACTTTATTAAGTTCAGTTTCCTGTTGCATCCACTGTAATGTATGATTTACACTTCCATAACAGGACTAGAGTTTCTGTATCAATTTGAGACATGTTTGAAAACAGGTTATGTGGCAATACAGTTTGCTGCATAAGCATGTTTTGCTATTTCTGTGAACTTTCATGAGCTTTGATGTTGAAATTGAAACAAAGAATGCAGAATTCAGAAAATAAACAAGTTGTATCCAAGTATATACTGTGTAAGTAGTCTATTTCATTATTTTTTTTTTTTTTTAAGGGAAATATCACTGCTTCTTGAGGGAGAGGCATTTCTTGTATTGGACCTAACCCTGCTTGTTTTATGTTCTTGTTGCACATTTGAAGCGTGACTTATGGTGCCATCACTTAAATTTTGGTGAAGTGTCTCATAGAATGTAAAAAGATACGGTGCTCAGTGTGAGAGCTGTTTTTTAAGAGCTTTGGATTGCTGTGAAAACATGAATTAAAGAATCTTTGCAACATTTCCCTAGAGTGGGTACTAAAACATGCATGTTCTAGCTGACTGTAAAAGGGGAAACAGGACTTCTGTTAAGACTGAAAGCAGGTTATCAGGAAAGCACTTAGGTGAAGGGTCATTTAGGAACTAATTGCAGTTGAGAAATTCAAGATTTACTTTGACATGTTCAATGTTGATTACTTAAAGTTACTTGTTTGACATATTGTGTATGTATTATATTGTTTTGTCACTTCACACTTTCTTTAAGCAAAATCATTGGCATTTTTTCATCAAATTAAAGGTCATCTGTATCCTGTCATTACAAAGACAGTAGATTTCTTGGTCACAAGACATTGATGGAATAATATCTTACACAGAAATAGCAGAGAATCTTACTTTCTGTTCTGGCATGAAGCCACTGTATCTAGTAGGAGTGTACAGAGATTGCTTGATTTTATTTATTTATTTATTTTTTAATTTGAAAAGTAAGGTCAGTTAACTCAAAAGAGAAGAGTTGAATTCCTAATTGGGATTTTTATACAAGTGATGTTCTCAACTTTATTTTTGGTGACTACTTTCACAATAACTGAGGTTACTAAGCACTGGGATTTATCTAAGCCTCTTTTCCTCTCAGTGGTAGTGATGATGAAGATGTTGCACCATTATCAGCAAAGTTTGCTGATATCTACCCACTGAATAATTACGATGATGCAGAAGTGGTAGCCAACATGAATGGAATTCACAGTGAGCTAAATGGCGGAGATGAAAACATGGCATTGAAAGATGAGGTACAACACTTAGATTGTCTTTTTTCTGGCATTTGGATCTTACTGCTGAAGAAAAGCTTGTCCTTCACTCCCATGTTAATGAGTTAATGTTACACAGTCTCCTCAGGTGAGCAGTACTAGCAGCAGCTCCTCAGAAGCAGATGATGAAGAAGCGGATGGAGAAAGTAGTGGTGAGCCACCAGGGACTCAAAAGGAGGAAATGTCTCTAGGAAAAAGGGCATTAAGGAAAGATGAAGCGAAAATGGATAGTCCACCACCTTCTTACCCTAGTCAACAGGTATTGTAACCTATGAAGAAAAAAATACAACCTTTTAGTAACATCAGAAATTTGACTGTCAATATGAATTATATCTTCAACTTGAATATGCTGAGTTATCGGTAGGTAGCTGTGATATCTAAAATATGTTTCAGTTGATTGTCTATTGTCCTAGGTAATATCCTTCTTTTTTCACAACCTGAAACGCATTAATTATATTAAAGATGTTTTCAATAGAAGTGATTTCTATCTTGTGCTTATATGAATGAAAAACAGATACTAAGAAATGTATCTTGGTGGTTTCAGCTCAGTCTTTGTTAAATGTTGGTGTTGTGTGAAACTGCTGTTGGGGGGATTACAATGAGAGCATGTTGTTAATGGGTGCTTTTTAATGTCACATCTGAGGACTAATTTGCCTTGCTGAAATGCTGGGTAGTAGCTTGTTATATGGATAATGTGTGGGTTTTTTATTATTGTGTGTTTTTCTTGGGTATTTGCATGTTTTCTTTTTTTGTTTTCTTGCTTTTGTTCAAGGTTGTTGTACTCTCTTCTGTAAGTTCACTAAAACACACAGGAAACTTTACCCAGAGTATCTGCTCAGCAGGTAGTGGGGTCTGGTTTAACAGCTAAACAAATAGTTCTATGACCATCAAAATAATTCATCTGATGGACTTGTCTTTATGTTTCTTTCAATCTGAGTTATCCTACAGTTCTAACATGAGTTTACTACTTTGAGAGAGGAAATGTTACTCTAAAAATCACTCTTATTGTACAAAGGATTCTACGCCAATGGAAGTCTTTGAGGGGTTCGATCCTCCCCCTCTACTTTGCCCTGGTGAGGCCACATCTGAAATGCTGTATCCAGTTCTTGGCTCCCCAGTGCAGAAAAGACAGGGATCTCCTAGGAGTCCAGCAGAGGGCCACAAAGGTGATTTAAGAGCCTGGAGCATGTTCCTTATAAGACTGAGTAACTGGGTCTGTTCAGCCTGGGGAAAAGAAGACCGAGGAAGTATCTGAAAATGTTTAAAAACATCTAAAAGGAAGTGGGAGACAAATGGATGAGGCCAAGCTCTTCTTGGTGGTGTGATAGGACAAGGAGCGGTGACCTAAAACTTGAACAGAGGAAATTTCATACAAATATGTGGGAGAACTTCCTTTATGGCATGGTGACAGAGCACTGCAACAGATTGCCCAGAGAGGTTCTGGAGTCTCCTCCTGCAAAAACTTTCAAGACCTGGCTGGACACCAGGGTAGGTTGTAGGGTACCTGCTTTAGCAGGGAGGTTGGACTTCATGAACTCTTGGAGATCTCTTCCAACCCCAGCAATTCTGTGATTAGTTGATAGTCAGGTGGGAGCTGCTGTTAGGTGTCCCCTGTGGTTAGCATGTCTGTAAGGCCTTTTGGTGGAAGGATTTTCTAGTGTCTTTTGAGTATTAAGCTGCAACTTCTCTCAACAAGCTTGTTGAGAAATCTTTTTTCTATGTATGACTTACCGATGCAGTAATTAAATGTGCTGAGACATCTAGCTTGTCAAGCTAACTGGAAAAGGGTGAACAGATTTTACATTTGTTGTAGAAAACCAAATGATGCTGAAATTATATGTCTGCTTCCATTTCACCCTACAGTTTAGGTTACTTCCCTAAGATGTTATTTAACCCTTTTTTTCTGTTTGCTTTGGGGGGGGAAAAAATTCTGAAGAACTCCTAATGACTTTTTTTTGCCTGATAATTTTTTTTTTATCAAAGCTGAGTATTTACTTTGTAATGCTGCGTTCATGTGATTCATTTCACTGATGTGTTGGAGATCATTTTGTACCATCTATTGAAATTTCTAATTTCCTGCCTTCATTAGGCAGAATATCAGCACTGAAAAGAGGTGATCATTTCCCTCTACTCACTGTTGGTGAGGCTACACTGGAGTGTTGTATCTAGTTCTGGGCCTCCCATGTAAGAGAGACCTGGATACCGTGGAAGGAGTGCAATACAGGGCTGCCAGAGATGATTGAGGGCCCAGGGAACCTCTTCTTTGAAGAGATGCTCAGAGCTGGGACTCTTCAGCCTCAGGACAAATAGGTCCATGGGGATCTCTTTGCTGTTTCCATCACATTGAAAAATCATGGCTGTCAGTTGAAGTTTCCAGTGACTGGAAAAGAGGGAATATCATTCCTGCTTTTAAGTGAGAAAGGAAGACCTGGTGATCTGGAGGCACAGAAAGATCATGCAGCAAATCTTCCTGGAAGGCACATTAAGGCATGTAGGAGATAAAGAGATGATCTGAGACACTCAGCACTATTTCACCAAGGGCTGATCATGCCTGCGCATTCCGGTGATCTTGTGCATTGGTGGATTTGTGCAGTAGCTTGGAGAAGAATTCACTGACAGCAGCCCTTTGGAGGAGGACCTGGGGATTCTGATGGATGAGAGGCTTGAAGGGAGGGTGCAAAAAGGATGGAGTCAGTCTCTGCTTAGTAGTGACCACTACCAGGTCAGGAGGCACTGGGCACAAATGAGAGCACAGAAGATTCCATCTGAACTCCACAAAGTACTTCTCTGCTGTGAGCATGATGTAACATTGGCACAGGGCTGTCCAGAGAGCCTGAGGGGTTTCCTCCTTGGGCATCTGTGAAAGCAGCCTAGATGTGGGTCTGTGCATCCTGCTCAGGGTGGTCTTGCTGGGGCAGGGCTTGGCCCAGAAGGCTCAGAGGTCTCTGCTAAGAAACCTCAACCATTCTGTGATTCTGTCATTAATTGATTCCATCAACTTCTTAATTCCACTTTAAATTCCTTTTTCATACCAAGTACCCAAAGGCTGGTCAGAATCAGATTTTGAATCTTCACATTGCTTTTTTTGTTTATTTTTCCTCTTTTTAATTTGTTATTAGATTATTACTTGTTGCTTGTGATAATACTTGTTTCAGGAGAAAGTTGTATTTGCTCTTAATAGATCTAATTCATTCATTTGTTGTATATGGTTTAAGAAATCTTCATGTTTTGAAAAAAACCTTTGTCAAAGGCTGTAATATTTCTAAGTTAAGATGAAGTGTTATGTGTTTCTGAGAGGAAAGCATGCATGTTGCAGAGAAATGCTACCTGTCAATTCTTTTCTAGAAAGTTAAGCTAAGAAGCTACTGTTGCTTCTTGGAAAAGATGTGTAAAGCCTCATTACTGGGGAGAAGTAACAGCTGGGAAGTGTTCCTGTATTCCTTCTGGTAAAACTGTCTTTCAGTAAAATGTCAGTTGACAGTCGTAGTAAAAAGTACTAAGCTGAGAGAAGAAAATGGACACAGCTCTTTCCTGAGTGTCTTTTCTTTCAGAGTACCTGAGTCCTTTAAAGACTAGAGTCTGAAGATGATCAGTAAAAGATTCCAGGAAAGCATGCATTTATTTGTAAGGCAGCTGCATAGTAAGTGAATTTGGAAGGGACCTCTGCAGTGGTCTAGTCCTACCATCCTACTCAAAGCAAATTCTTCAGGAGGAGCCTCAGCTCTGCTCTGTGTCCAGTTGGATTTTGAATATCACAAAGGATTGTAGGCTTCAAAACTGCTGTGGATAACATGCTTCAGTGTTCAGCCACCTTCACAATAGAATAAGTACATAAACACTTGGAGTGGAATTTCCTGTATTTCAATCCATGCCTGTTTTTTCTCATCCTTTCATGGGATACAGCCGAGAAGATCCTGGCTCTCTTATCTTTGCTTACCTCCTCTCCCTGAGTCAGGTATTCATGCACATGGGTAAGATCCTCCTGAGTCTTCTCCTTGGAGGCCGAACAATCCCAGCCCTCTCAGTCTTCCCTAGATGTGTGCTCTAAATCCTGAATCATCTCTGTGACCCTTTGCTCCAGTGTGTCCTCATTTATTGTACTGAGGACCCGTCAGTCCAGGTTTATCTCACAATCACTGAGCAAAGGGAAAAAATCCCTTCCCTTGACTTACTGGCCATGCTCTCCCTAACTCTTAGGGCTTTTTCCAACTTTGTCAGCTAATTAGCCCTTACCACTACTGTTGTGTGTACTGTTTTTCCATATAATTGGGAAATTGTGAAATATAAACATCCAATTCCATTTTTATAGTGGAATTAATCTAGCAACTATCTAATGTTATCAAGGTTTCCTCTTCCTGCCTGTCCTTGATAATTGGATACAAATTATCTTACTGTCACTGATAGGAGGTATTCAAAATCTGGTATCAAACTATGTTGACCTTGAGAGCATTCCATGCTTATCTAAGATGAAGATCCTCCATTAGTACTTAATAATTAATGTTTTTTCATGATGAAGGAATTTTCCGGATGCTCTGGATTTATTAATAGATGTATTCAAAAGCAAACTGTATTTATGATTATTAAGAAAAAAGGATGCATAGAATTATCTGATTGTATTGTCAAGTACATTGATTGTATTTTGTTGTGCATTTACAGGCTGACCAAGGTCCAAATGCTTGTGAATGTCATGTTTGCAAACAAGAAGCTTCAGGTCTAACAGCCTCTGCACTTGCAACTGGGCGCCTGCCTGCTGGCCATCAGTTTATGAATCCTGAAAAGCCTGCACATCCTGCACTTCATCTTTATCCTCATATCCATGGACATATACCATTGCATACAATTCCCCACCTTCCTCGTCCACTTATCCATCCCACCTTGTATACAGCTTCCCCCTTTACACACAATAAGGTAAGCCTGTCAAGGTAGATGTGTCCCGATCTTAGGAAATTACTGTATGCTGGCATAAATTAGCAGGTGACTGAGTATCAGTAAAACTGTAAACATTGCTTTTTAAATCGTTGTCTGTTTGGATTCTGATTCCCTGTTAGAGGGAATAGTGAAGTGTAAGGAATAGGGCATAGTCAGAACTGGAGAAAGGCTCGCACAGCAAAACTAAGAGTAGTTTGCAACAGGAAGACTGATAATTTCCTTGCTTTCATTAGAAGGAATTTAGAGTCAAATGGGTCTGGAATGGTGGGAAGAGTAATGAGACTTTCGTCAGTATAATAGGACTAATTAAATCTTCATTTAATATATAGGAGGTCAGAATTTAATATTCCATTTTGGCGATAATGTTCTGAGATTTTTAGTTCAAAATGCTAGCACTTTTTTATTTTTAGACAGTTAGGCATAGGAGTCTTTTAAATGATTTTTGTGCTTTGAGAGAACTTGGTTTTTTGCAGGTTCTGCAAAATTCTTTTGACTCAACATGTAATTAATGAAAAAGCAAGTGGTACAGAGCATGGATTAAGGCCTGGTGTCTCCTTTTGGAAGCATGAATCAAAAACTAGGAATTGACATTGATGTGGTGCCATTTCACATATTTCATTCAGTTGAACTATGAGCCCTGCTTAAAGGGGCAAAGACTGGTTACTATGATGCATTCCTCTCACCTTCCTTTTTTTGATCCAGAGATCTTGTGGTTGCAAGGAGAGAAGATTAGCTCACTGTGATGATCATTGAGTAATTTTTAGCATCGCTATTAACATCAGCTTTGTTTGTCCTATCTTACTGTTACCTCTTCCTTCTCTGTTGTGTTGTGTTGACATTTCTTAACAGCCTACAGCCTTTCTTCTGACATCCCAAATTGTTGCACCATCTTCTGCCATCCTTCTTGCACTCTTCCCCATCCCTTTGTAGCAGTCTACTCAAGCTGCCAACCATGTGATACCCTTCTCTCTGCTGTCATTCTTTTCAAGAGATCTTTGCATGGTGGAACATCTGCAGTGTATTTTTGAGGCTACACCAGCAGCCCCATGTGGAGTGGCAAGCTGCTAGCACTGAGTGGCTTTGTTGTACTGCCCTAATCTACTAGTTCTGGCACAGCACCTGAACCAGCTGGGCTCCGTGTGTTTTTGTTATGTGGGAGCTAGAAGGACGTATGTGGAAGCTGAAGCTTTAGGGAGCTTTTGTATTTGAACAACCAGATGAATTTGGCAGAGCTGGTAGTAAAGCAGCTAATAAACCCCATCAGGTCAGGACTTGGTTCATTATATCATGGATAGGCTGTTCTGTCCCTGTGATGTTTCTTTTGTACCCATATGTGCAAGTTTTCTTTTATGGAGGATGCTTGAGCTGCTTCAGCCTTCCAGATCAGTCAGATAATGAAAATGTCTGGATTAAAAAAAAAAACAAGAGTAACTGGGTATATGATGAGTTTTCTTCATTGTGTTTAGATGTTAGTGTCTGAAATGTTACTGAACTCAGCTGATACTTGTCTACATCTGTCTAGGTTTTTCATTGCATTAAATGTAGTGCAGAAATAGGATAGAATCACTTCCCTTTGGCTTTTTTAAATGTGGTGGTAATTGAACGTAATGCTTGCACTGCTCAAGGTCTCTGAACCCTGAGCAACAACTTGCCTTTATAAAACAGAAAAAGTATTTCTGTGGGGTTTTTTGTTGTTGTTTTTGGTTGCTTTTAAGAACAGAAGGTTGCATTCATTGCTGTGAAGTTTTAAGTCAGGAACCTGTTAATACTTCTAGATGAGAAAAGCAGACAAATAGAACCAAGTTGAAAATGATGCTTTCAGATAACAGTGTTTTGTTTTTCTACTGTGCTTGTTTCCAATCCTGAAGTGTTAGTAATCCCTTTATCACAGCTGCTTTGTGTAGTAATGGTTGTCATGTCACGGAGGATTGCTTTTAGCATCTTGGGCTTTGGAAGGTAATAATAATTCCTATTAAGTTGTACATTGACATAAGTACTTTTTTAGATGAAAAGTGAGGATCCACCAATATATATTAACCCAAACATTTTTGGAGGATGCTTTGTTTTGTATTCATCTGTTATCAAAACCTGAAGGAAAAGTTTATGATCATAAAACACACACTTGTACATAAAATCTGTGTAACACATTATCTGCTTTTAAAAATCAACAGAGTGATCTTTTTATCATTCTGGGAAATAACGTTTATTACCCTTAGCTTTTTATGATGCCTTTCACAATTGAAACAATTTATGATTTGAATGTTGCTGTTGGAGTGACTGTGTAAGCAAATAGAATATCAATGAGGAAAATACTCTCTATTTTTGTAGGCATTACCGCCAGCTCCAGTTCAGAATCATTCAAACAAGCATCAAGTATTCAATGCATCTCTCCAAGATCATATTTATCCAAGCTGTTTTGGGAGTACTCCAGATTGGAATAGCTCTAAATTTATAAGTCTCTGGGGATCAGAGATGATGAATGACAAGAACTGGAATCCTGCTACGTTTTTGCCTGATACAATTCCTGGTGAGGTTTTGTTATTACTTGACACTGACTAGTTAAAATCCTTATGTCATGCAGTGGAATGTGGCACTTATTTCCAGGAATGATAGGTTTCATCATCATGTTCTTAATGAGATGGGATTCTGGCAGGGATTTGCTGCCATTTCTACTTGAGTGGGACTGAAAATTGGAAAATATATTCTTACATCTTGGAAATAGGACTCCAAAGGCAAAAGAATAACAATGTTTTTCACCTCTGCTCACTGTAGAAATATTTTCATCTTGAATGTTTAAGACTGCAAAGAAATTGGAAGTCAGGGAGAACTTAAGTTGCTTTTTATCTGCCACAAAGATCTGCTTATTTTCTATGGGACTGCAAGAGCACTGGTAATGTGGTACTGCATTCTCCTCCTTACCTTGCACAGAAATAAACCTTGTCATTCCAGAGGCATGCACGTACAAAGAGGTTGATTTAAGCCAGGAAGCTTTTGGAGATATTAATGGTTGAAGTTAAATAGAAGAGGTTAATAGAGAAATAAGTGTGTATGTGCCTTTCCATTCACCTCATAGCAAAGAAGTTGAAAAGCTCTTGTAAAATGTAATTTGTGTGAAAAAGGAAGCCTGGTTTTATGTCTGAATATTTTTCAGAGTGGTTTGCTGTTTGCTTGTATCGAGCTACTGAAGTGATGTTAAAAAGAAAAGAAATGGATAAACTTACAGAGAACCTCACCAGTAGCGTAGCTTGTCTTTGTGCAGACTTGGTTAGGAGTACCTTTTCTAAGGGGTGGTTGGTGGCAAGCTTCTGTGGGAGGTCTGATCACAAAGGTGTTACCATAGTTAGCTGGAATCACCAATAATTAAAGATGTCTTGTACCATGTTGATAGAAGAATGTGCTGCTACTTCATGTGTTGCAATTGTTGCATGGCTAATGTGGAGTTCAGATATTGAAGTTTACGTGCTTAGCATGTAATAAAGTATCCAATTTTAATTCTTCAATAAATGTATATGGGTCTGTAGCATCTTTGCTACTTGTTTGCACATATATCAGGATTCTTAAAACTGTAACTTTAAGGTTATTGACTGCTTTGAGACTTAGTAGCACATTTTATTGCATCTGTATTCTGGGCAAGAGGTCCTTGGGAGGGAGGGGGATCACTTTGCTGAACTGATTAAGCCAACTTGAACGAGGTGTCCTTGTTGGTCTTGTAACATCCCATCTAAATTATTACATGTTTAATTCTGAGTACCGTAAAGACAATTCTGTAATTCTGTGATACTTAATTATTCTGTGCACTTCAATTGAAGGGAATGATATACTAACGCCAGCACTCTCAGAAATAAGACCCGAAGCACTTCCTACCACATCTAGCAATGAAGGATCAGCTGTTACTGATGGCAAAGAAAAGAAAAATGCTGCAAAGAAGAAATGTCTGTACAATTTCCAGGATGCCTTTATGGAAGCTAACAAAGTTGTCATGGCAACCTCTTCTGCTACTTCTTCTGTCTCCTGCACAGCTACTACAGTGCAGTCAAGCAGCAACCAATTCAAAGTATCATCTAAGAGACCTTCATCAATAGGTAAGGATTTCTAATTCACACACTTTTTAGTAACTGTCTCCAGTACACATCGAAGTTCTATGTATGTTTGCTGTAGTTTGTATTATCTTTAGTTGGTGTTCTTAATACTCCTGAGTTTCAATCTCTGTATTCCTGGCTTGAAGAAATTTTTAAGGCATCTTAATATTAGGATTTGGGACTCCTAGTAGGCAGATCAGGAAGTACTGCATAGTTTTTAGAGAGGCTGAGAAAGTCTACCACTTTAAGTGACTGCTTGGGTAATTAATTGGAGACTTAATTTCTTCCAGTTGTAATGTTGTTTTTTTTTCCCCTCCAAATTTAGGTGAAGTGTTCCACAATATTAATAAAGAGGACCATAGACATTCTGCACCAGTTGCACCACGAAATAGTCCTACCAGTTTAGCATCGCTTCCTTCGCTGTCTCCTGCTGCACTGTCTCCAGCTTCTACACCCCATCTTCCAAACCTTGCTGCTCCTTCTTTTCCCAAAACTGCTGCAACAGCCCCTGGGTTTGTGGATCCCCATTCAGGTCTTTGTCCTACTACAGTTGTACCTCCTACTTCCACCACAGACAGCTCTGTAAGTGCCCCACCAAGTGTCTGCAGGTGAGTCTGGCGCTTGGGTGACAGAATCAGTAAAGCATTGATTTCTGCAGAGTTGTATCTGTTGTTCCATAGCATGTGGTGTCTCACTGCCCTGCTGGGCACTGTAATGCTAGCTCTCTCCAGACAAGAGAAAATAGTAGGTGCATTGCTCAGACTGACTAGCCAGGAAGTTTGCGCTAACTAGCAGTTACCTGTTGTTATATGTTATGTTTTCTCGTACTTTTCCCCTAATTAGAATACTGAATTTGAACAGGTTTTTTTTTTCCCTCCCACTGTTTTGATCACTAATTTTTGATAAATTTCCTTTTCTGGGGGAGCTGGAAGAGTGAGCTTCTTGCTTCAGAAAGAAGATGCACATACGTTTTGGCATGTGAAAGGTCATGGCGTTTTCACCTTGCTAACATATGAACAAAGAAGTAATAACACTAGATGAGATCTTCCTTTGAATTAAATACTTTACAGTTACAGCAAAATCAGATCTGTCATTCAGTCCTTCTGGAACCACGATATGTTCCATAGTTATGCAGCCCTTTGGAGGGGATAAAAAAGCAGGGTTGTTCAATAAGCAGTTACAAAGCAGTGCTTACAAAAGTGTAACTGCTTATTGAAGAGACCTGCTTTTTTTTTTTTCCCCTCTCAAAAAATTAAGTGACAAACAGGATCTTGTGGCACCATCTTGTTTTTAGCCGATCCTCAATTTTTTAAGTTGAGAAAAAAAAAAATGTGTCTAGAACCAGGGGATTTTAGGAATAAGTTGTGGTATGAAGAGAGCTGTGCAATGCACAAGTGATAAGGCAGGTGACAGTTTCAAAACCATTCAATATTAAAGCTAAAAATTTCTGCCTCTGAAATTATTTTTCCTGGTTTAAGACAAAGAAGAACAGTTCCACAACTCACTTTGTAGGCTACTGATCTAATGAGGCACCTGATGAGTTTTTCATAATTCACTTTACCATACATGATTTTTTTCTTTCTGCTTTGTTTTGAGCATCTCCCTTTGAAAGCTACTGTATGAGGGCCTTAGAATTTGATACATCACTGGTGATTGACATCCCAGTTTGAGAATCATTGTTCCTGGTAGATGTACATATAGCTGCATGCTTTTTTGCTTCTTTTCTTTCAAACATTGTTTCCATTATTATCCAGATTTTTTTTCACCAACTTTTACTTAATTTCACACAGTGATCCTGATTGTGAGGGCCATCGCTGTGAGAACAGTAACACTTACGATCATCAGCAGTATGATGGAGAGGAGAGTCAAGATGAAGACAGCTGTTCAGAGCACAGCTCAAGTACCTCAACATCCACAAACCAGAAGGAAGGAAAATACTGTGACTGTTGTTACTGTGAGTTCTTCGGCCATGGCGGAGTAAGTTGCTGGATTTTCAATTTTATTTTGCTTTTTTATTAATGTATCATCAGTTGCATGGATCTTATTAGACTGCAGCTAAGTGGGAGTTGTGTTGGAACTCACTGAAGAGATAAGTAGCAAAAGGAAGTTGAGTGTGTGGGCAGAACTTAATTTTCCTCTTTGAAATGAAAAATCGAAACAAGACCAGTTGAAGGCAAATAAAAAGTAATAAAAATGGCTAAAAGCTTTAGCAAGCAGTTGACTTGGATAATAGATCACATGTTTGCCTGTGAAACTGCAAATGGGCATTCTGCCACGTAGACATCTTCATGAGTGTGTGCACTTATCTAGGGTAGTGTGATTATTTATAATGTGGTAAGTTCAAGTAAAAATGCACTTAATAGAAGATGATTTATTAAAAAAAAAAAAAAAGCATTTGTAGCAATTCTATCTATAGAAATCTCAGTTCTTGAAGTATTCATTTTAACATGATACTAAAAAAACCCAACAACTATCCTTAAAGAACTCTGGCAGTGTGAGTTTATATAACATTTTTATCAAAGGAAAACCCAAACAATACATTCTCTGTTTTTATTATTGTAAACAATCTGCCTTAGTGGAGCATTTTGATAAGTGCTGACTTAATTTAAAAGGTATTTTAAAGAAATAGACTTCACAAGTTAGCAACAAGCCCGATACGTCTGTTGCCTGTTAAATACACCTTCAGGTATGCCTACAAACAACATGGAATTCAGTGTTCTGGTTTGAACTCCTAGTTTTTTTAAGGTCTCTGCGGTTTCAAAATCTTGTGTTAGGTCAGTGAAATTTAGATTCAGTCACGAAATATTTTTCTGATGTCCTTCAGCCACCAGCTGCACCAACCAGTAGAAATTATGCTGAGATGCGAGAAAAACTTCGTTTACGTCTGACCAAAAGGAAGGAGGAACAGCCCAAGAAACCGGATCAGATCTCTGAAAGGGAAAGTGTTGTTGACCATCGAAAGGTGGAAGACTTGCTACAGTTCATAAACAGCTCTGAAACCAAACCAGTTAGCAGTTCTCGGGCAGCCAAACGAGCAAGACATAAGCAAAGAAAGGTAAGATAAAAGAGTGTGTTTATCCTAAATCCTCACACTTTTGAATCCGTAAGCATGTTTTGTGACCTCCCTGTAAGTATATGACCATGTGCTGACTTGATAATAGTGGCCTACTTGGTTTTTTGTGTCATTTGTGATGGTTCTGTCTGTTTGCTTAAGTGAGGCTTGCTTACCTTTGCTGATGCTCTCTTAGAAGTTACTTAGACTAGGAAGAGTTCTCACAACGTTGCTGTCATGTTCTTAGTCTCTTTATGTCATCTTTATGTGGGAATTTCCCACACAGTTATTAAGTTTCAGAAATAAAAATCTGATTGTTGCACTGAATGGGCATTTTAGAAGTGCAGGAAGTTAGAAAATCAGTGTCTCTTTGTTGGAATGATAGTTATGATGTATGACTGTAGGAAGGCAAAAAACATGAGATTAATGCTTTTGAGAAAGTGGAAAAGTCAAGTTTTGATATTTGTAGCATGATTGCATTGGGCACCTTGAAAGGAGCTCACAGTGACACAAAGACCATCGTAAGTTAGAGTGAAGTGCAAAGCTGCAAAGGAGTGGGCAATAAAAAAGAAAATATATCACTTTCAAATGAAAATTAGTGAAAACATGTAAAGCAAAAAAAAAAAAAAAAAAGCCTTTTAAATTTAATAAGGAAATTATTTTCCAAAAACAACATTTGCTGAGTTAACAGAGGAAAATGATTTTTCTAAGTTGAACAAGAGGAGAAATTGCTTTTCTTATTGCAATTTAGTTATCAATTTTAAGTGTGAAGTTGAAACTGTTTAAACCAACTGAGGTTAGTTGCTGGAAGTTTTTGTATTTTGATAATCATGTTATGTGACTTCACAGTAACTATTTTGTGTATGTGGCTTAGTTTGCTGGCACTAAGTCTGCATGCTGTAATGCTTCCATAGGTTCGAAAGACCTGGTATTCCCTTAACAGGGTGATGGGGCTTTTTGCATGACTTCTATAACTGTGGAAAAGGAATCCTCTGTAGATGCTTTGAAATGTGTGAGAAGAGTATATGAATACAGTTGTTCTCAGCATATAGCTTTCGTTTTGCTTGTCATGAAAGATAAATGTTGCACAGTTTCAGGAACTTTCAGTAACAGCTGGTAAAAGTCCTTTCTATCTTTGTTATATTTAGTTGTGAGCTTGCAGGTAACAAAATATCATCATCCTTACTGTTCTTGACAGCTTTTAATGCATCTTAGATGTGCTTGCTGTTGTGTTTTGAGTTGCTTTTAATGATTACTTCTAGTGTTAAACACTGGAACAGAGAAGCTGCTGGCATACATAGCAAGAGAACAGATAAGTGATGCAACCTATGACAAAAGCTTCGGTTACCTCAGTAATACACAAATAGATAAAAGAATCAAGTGGGAAATTTCATTTTCAACGTTTTGTTCTTGTGATTTTAGAAATCTTTGGTATGAAGTTAAGCTTAGCAGTAGCAAAGAGAAGATGAACAGTTGGTACTGACAACAGTCAGGTGTGTTACAGAAATTCCAAAAGGATTTCAATGTACTTTAAAAGGCAGCTTTTTTTTTTTTTTCTGCATGCTTGTGGATCAAATAAATTGGTTATGCAAACATTCTGAGACTCAATGTTTGCACAGAAAACGAGTAATGATAGCTAAAACTTGTTTTCAAAATCTGTGTCACTTCCAGTAATCTAATTGTTATTTTGTAGCTTGAAGAAAAGGCTCGACTTGAAGCAGAAGCCAGGGAAAGGGAGCATCACCAGTTGCTTGAAGAGCAGAGGCGGCGAGAGGAGGAAGAAGAAGAGAGGCTGAAACAAGAACTACAGCGGCTTCAAGAACTTCAGCAGTTGAGGGCTGTAAAGAAAAAGAAGAAAGAGCGAACAAATAAGGACTGTCAAAAGGTGGACGTGCTTACTCAAAACTGTCAGGCAGCAAAGGAATCTGTCCCAAATGCACCTGAAGACATTCAGAATGGTACACTTGAGCAATCAGAAAAGATAGAAACCTCCTCTGGTTCACTGTCGAGACACGTGAATCACACAGAACAGAGGCCGCTTTCAGAGGCAGGCTGTGAACCATCCAATGCTGTGAACACTAGAGACTCAAAACTGCTTTATCAGAAAGAGGGGAGCGTAAAGCAGCATGAGCCCCTCTCTTTTCTGCTTGATATTATGCATCAACATAAAGAAGGAAACAACAAACAGAAACTAAAGCAAATAAACAAACCGTGCTCTGAACAAGTGAAAAAGCCTGTTGAATCCTCCAAAGCAGCTGAAATTCAGACTAAAACCAGAAACCAAATAGAATCCAAAGCAAAAGCAGCAGAGCTCCCAGTGCTTGCAGAACCTAAAAAAGAAGAGAAGAAATTAAACAACAACAACAAAAAACAGTTGAACCACATAAAGGAAGAGAAAGCACCCATCACAAGTGAATCCCCTTCACCAAGTGAGCAGCAGCAGAATAATAAGCTAATACTTGCAGATTCTCCTCAACCGAAGGGCAAGAACAAGAAAAACAAGAAGAAAAAAGGGGACAAAGTCAACAATTCCATTGGTGAGAAAAATCAAGTTGCTTGTTCGTTTTCTTTTTTTACTGTTACTACTTAAGTCCAGAAGCTTAAAATCTTTTTTTACTCAATCTGGTAATGTAAAACAAATCCAACAACAAAAGCCCAGAGAAATTGGTGTCAGGAAAAACTCAGGTCACTGTAACTTCAGTTTGTTTTTCAGGGTGCTCGCTGGTGATGCACAATCTGAAGATAGCGTTTTCCTTTTAGGATATGTGTATATGCTTCTAGTGAAGAGATGTAGAAGGCTTTAAAGCCTGAGTAAGGTAGCATATGCCTCTGTTTTGTCAGGTTTTGTCTTCTAAGAAAGGCAGTCTCATCCATAAAGCCTGTACTTGTTAAGAAATATTCATATATTAAAGCATGAATTTGCTGAATTCCATTCTGAACTTGTGTAAAAGCAAGGATGTTCCTCAAATAGAGTTGAATTTTGTCTAAAATAGTTTTAATCTGTGCACAAGGAAAATTATTGGATTTTGTTGTTGAAGAATAACGATTCGTTTATCAGTGGTAATAATTATTTTCATTTACTATTTGCATTAACAGGTGTAGTAAACCGATTTACTATTTTTTTTCACTTGCCAGTGTGAAAATTTTAGTGAAATGTTGTTTAATTAAATATATTGAGTGTGTTCTCCATGTGAATATCAGCTTGTGCTAGGAAATAGGTTTTATACACCCAATAAGAATAGTAAAAGCGTAGAAATTTGAGTGAACTCAAACAAATTGCACTGACATAATTTTCTTTCCATTGCATTCTTTTGTTCTGCTTTCCTGAAAGCTGCTAAGGCCGATAGCAAAGCTGCTGAACACGTGCACTGCTAGCTGATTTGCCTTGGCAGCGGGCTGCTCTATCTGCTGGATCTGTTCCTGAGTGCACTTGGTCCCTCCTGGGGCTGGTGGTCGGGGCAGCTTTGTGGTACAGAAATGTCTGCTCAGAGCACACAGCTGAGGAGCAGCAGTGCACAAGTGACGTGTTTGCTAGAATGACTTAACACTGCAGTTCATGCTGCTGTGCTGCCTGGTAAGCCTGTAGCACCTCATTCCTCCAGTGGCAGCCTGTGCCTGAGTACAGCATTGAACTTTTTTTCTCCTATACTTTAGTTCTTCTGAATACTATATTGTTATGAGGTTTTGTTTGCTTTGTTGTTTTTTAATTTACAGAGAACAGTGTATTCCAGTCGTTTAAGTAAGACAAAACTCTAATCTTTTCTGCATAGGGATGGGTGGTATACTGTAGAAGGAATTTAGGTCACTTGCATCTTTTCTTCTCTTTTTCTCTGTGTATGTAGATACACACAGACAGATGCTTTTTCTGCTGTTTATACAAGTATATTTAACAATTTCTGAAAGCTGTTGTTCAAATGTAGAAACATGAATCTGATTTTATAAAGAGGTAATTGTGCAACTCTCTGGATCTGGTCTGGGTAGCCACTTGGAGTAGTTGTCTTTAGAACTAAAAGAAAGATGGTGTAATATGGTGTAATAATTTCTTTGGCTGTAATTTCTTCAAGATATTGGGTTGCTGGACTAAACTAGCAAAGGCACAAAAGATCAGCTGTGGAAAAATGTACAGGTATTGTAGAACTGAGGCAACAAAGAATTTGTTTCCAGAAGAAACGTAAGGTCCTCAAACACTGCTTCTGGTATGATCTCAGTTTCTTGAAGAAATAGTCTGGCAGAGCATTCTGACTCCTCTTTTTGAAGAGATTGGGATATAGGGAGCACAGGGCTTTCAGGTTCTTCAGAAGTAAGTTGCAAGGCAAAAATACGTAATTTTTGAGCTGTCAGGAAAGTCTTTAGGGAAGAGTTATCTGCTCTCATAGTTCCGAGGATTCTGGAAAGTAGTGCTGTGTGCTAGGTGTTTTCAGTTGTGTGCTTTGAGTCTTGCTGTCTTGGAATGTGTTCTGAGTCTGCCTCAGAAAGGAGAACGGTGCATGATGCAAAGGGAGAATTAAAAGAAAGAGGAAAGAGATTGGTTTCTGCTGCAAATCACATTTTCTGAAGTATCTATGATAGAAAGTACAAGAAAAATAAGTACCAGGACAGTATAGTATACCAGTAGCTACAATAGCTGATGCTCAATTGTGACCGTGTTAAAATATCAGAATAATGTTTGGAAAAGAATCCTGCTCACAAATAGTGTGACTTGCACAAGCAACCTGTGATGTCCCCGAGGGGAACTGAAGTTCTACAAAACCAGAATTCTTTAAGTTTTTTCTTTAGAAATACAATTTCTTCAGTCTTTTCTAAATCTGCCTTTATGGTAGCAAAGCCATCGAAATTCAGGCAGTCAAGCACGATCTCCTACCTGCCTCTTCCTATAATTTGATGTTTCTCATGTGTATTCCAGGCTTTCGGCATCTTCTGCAATCCATGTGATCAGTAAATTCTATTACTTTGTCTCTTCCTTGTTTCCAATGTAACTCCTTGAAAGATTGAGCGGAGATAATAGTCTGAGGTTTTTAAGAACACATTTTCAATGACAAATTTGTATTAATTCAGCCTAAATGTGAATAATCACTGGTCTAAAAAGCTCAGACAGTTCTTTAAAAAAAAAATAAAATCAGCTTCTTACTTTTCTTACTTCCTTCTCTCTCCTTCCCCTGTGAAATCTAATGTAATGTAATCCTTTTTCCTTTGTAGATGATGTTTTTCTACCCAAAGACATTGATTTAGACAGTGTGGAAATGGATGAAACAGAGCGAGAAGTGGAGTATTTTAAAAGGTAAAGTTCTGTAATTCCTGCATGGAAAGCTGTTGTGGTTCCTCCATTACGCTTAGTGACCCTAGGATTGTCTTTGTGTCCCCAATGTTCTCATCAAGATTTTCAGAATATCCCCAGCTATCTTTTCTTTTCTGTAAGCAAAATTGGAATATTTCTTTTATTATCCACGTGGATAAAATACAGACAAAATACTTGCTACTGTTTGTTTTTTTTTTTAAAGTGAAGGTGATAAATACTATGTAAGGTGTTACTTATTGGACAAGTAACTTTTACATTTCAGATGCTATTTTTCAATATTTCATGAGTTTTATTTCATGAGGTTTTTACATGTTTATGGGAGCTATTACTTTGGAATTTTATACTGCGCATAAAATAGAGATAGCCCAAATGCAAATATTAGTTTCTACTAATGACAGAGGAGATGCTTATGCTAGTGCAGTGACAGTAACAATAAAATGAGCTGGTACTTGAGCCTGTTTTTCCATTTTGGCTGCTTTTGGAGTTCGTTATTTATGTTTAAGTGTTTCAGGTAAGGGCAGACAGCTCATACGTACATAATACAGTGTGTTCTTCCATAGCACTGTAAACTACTCACATGTATGTTCTTCAGTTAGAGCTGGCTGTGCTACTTGCCCATGAACACTTCTTAGTAAGTTTTTCATCATGATTTAAAAAAAAGATTTATAGATAAATAAACTTTCAGTAATTGGATGCTTTAGAATCAGTGGTTGTTTCACAAGACAACTAAAGCCATTGATTTTAAAGAATAGGGCTTTTTTTTTTTTAAATCAGGCTTTCCGTATAGATATGGAATCTTTTCTTACATACTTTTGATAGTCTGTGTGCTGGGCAGTAATACACATCTGAATCTTGCAAAGGACAGCTGCTTCTCTGTGCTGAGTATTCCTGTACAAAATTCATATGTTATTTAAATCAGTGTTAGTGTTTTAAAATATCCAGAAATACTCTTGAGTGACTGACCAGCTAACAGATTTAGCTGTTTAGATTGAAAGGTTTTATAGTTGGAACGTGACAAATATTAAACAGTGCTAGTGAAGAAATGTGTTCTTTACATGTAAAAGTGTGGCTGAAATTTATACAGGAGTTTGCCATAGATGATTGCAGATGAACAGCTGTTAAATAGTACAGTTATGAGTGTTAATCAGCTCGATACAATCTATTTAACTTTCATCTGTGAGGAGGTAACTGTACAGTTTGCACACATGCCAGTTTTCATGTCTGGAAGAGGTGCTTGAAATGCCCCTATAAATGCTGTTCTAGGCAATCATAAGTAAATAATAATAATAAGCAAAAATATTGCTTGTTCTTCATGGCAGTAAGCTCCACAGGAATTGTTCTCTATACTGATTTTGTTAATTTATCGTCCTTTCTCGTTGCTTTGGAGCAGAGTAATACATTATTACACCCTGACTTCAGAATTAATTTTGCAAACTGCTTCTAACTTTGGCATGGAAGGAACAAAAGAAATCTACTTGACTGTCCATTGTACCCTTCCTATTTCTTCCCTTCTGTCTGTTCCCCTTACTTGGTTTTCAGTTCTTGGAGAAATCATGTAGCCTTCCATAGAGGGAACTCCTTCACATAGGAGTTTACCTTGATGCTGTCATGGAACTTCTAGCCCAAACAAGCTACACCAGACCTTGATAAAGGTCCTGAGCATGAATTAACAGTCTCTGAAATGCCTTTTTCTTAGTGCATGCCAACCTTTTCCAACAGATCCTCCCTAAGTATGCATTGTGCCCAGTGAATACAAGTGGATTTTTTGTGCTAAAGATTCTTTTTCTAGTGTGTGGACTCTTTGTCTGCTGTATTACAAACACCCTTTCCTCAAATATTCATTCCAAATGCCACTTTGCTGTAGTCAGACTGGTGTGAGGAAAGAGCAGTGCTCTGTGCCCTTGACTCTTGTGCTTTATCAATTACCTACTATTCATTCTTGTTGTTACAGGGTTTTTGATAAATAGTCATGTCAGTTCTGGTTTTGGTTAACACCCAGTGAGCTTCTGTGCTGATAAATATGCAGTATTCCTTGTTTCTTCTCCCAATTGCTCTTGCCAATACAGTGGTGTTTAAAACAACCAGTTTCTGATCTACATGGATAATGGGCAAGTCATTTTTTTTTAATAAATTTTTTTGTGAAGTTTTGCCCTTCTGAATGGGAGCTGCCCTTCAGAAAAGGGATGCCATCAGTGGTGGGTTTCTTTTTTTTTTTTTTTTTTTTTTTTTTAAATATATCAGTTTCACTTTTCACTTTTTTTTTCAGGTTCTGCTTGGATTCTGCCAGACAGACAAGGCAGAGACTTTCCATCAACTGGTCCAATTTTAGCTTGAAAAAAACCACCTTTGCTGCACATTGAAATGACACAATATGGGGAGGGAATCCTGCAGGAATCAATGAACGAGAACTCCACTTACCTGTCCTGCTGTGCTGAGAGCTTATCTGGTCTTGAGCCAGTGCTGCCTTGCCTTGTCCCCAGTGCTGTGTGGATCTGCACTGAACCCTTTGGCCTGATAATTCTTGCGGACTGAAAAATTGCCACTTTCTACCTGAATTTGTTAGCTTGTGTGCTTGTAGTCTGTGAGTGAGACTTACTTGATTGTAGCTGTATGCTGTTGGAGATGAAACAATAGCTCTTTTCCATCTCCTTCTGAATGCCTTGGCCTCAAAGACTTTAAATTGCTTAGGCTTGGGTGGAGGCCAAAATACTAGTTTGCATCATCTGCAGTGGCTCCTGTCACTTCTGCATCTAGCTATGTTTTGTCATTCTGACTCCTGACAAAGGAATGGACCTGGTCAGTTGTGCTTTCATCTGCTCCAAAATTCTCCTGACATGACTTCATGAAAAAGAGGCTCTTACAGGACAAGTATTTCCTCAGTTCTTTCACAATCTACTGTTTAAGAGTGTACAAGTTACGCTATTTGTGTTTTGATTTTTTTTTTTCCTGACTTGTAGCCAGCTTGTGTAAGAATACTTGCAGAATGGAGAAAATTTAAAAAAAAGAACAGTACTCACACTATCGAATCTGTTATAGAGTGTATAATTGTATTAACACTGAAGCCTAACTGGCTACTTTTTTAACATATTGTTAAGTAATATTAAAATCATGTCTTTCTTTTTGAAAGATGGAATACATTAGTATGGCAGAAGACCTGTGTCTTGCTTTTTTCTATGTGGGTGGGGTGAGGGAAGAAATGTACTTGGATAGAGTGGTATTCTACACTGAATCTAACGTTCTCTCAGGATTGATCAGTGAGTGCTACTTAATTTTTAGCATGTTTCTGTAGGAACTCTTGTTTTCCACCTCACATGATGGGAACAGCTTTCTGCTAGTGCAGCAAAGATTCCTGCTGAATGCTGGAGTTGTTTGTGAATTCTGTGAATTACTGTAATGCTTCTGTTGAGAAACAAGGTAATGCAAATATTTCCAATGCAATATTAGTGTAGAAATGAAGTAGGTAGGCTCAGTGTTACTGTTGTGTAAGTATTTAACAATTTAGTGGTGTTTTACAGGTTGCATAGTGTCTTGGTCTTGTACTTAAAAACGTTTTTCTGATACCCTACTATTTAGAATAGAGCTACGTTTCATTTGGATGACTGTATTTACCCAATTTATAAGGGCAGTCTTCCATTTTTATTTTCTTTACAGAAAATAAAACTTCCATTCAATGTATATTTGAAAGGACAGTGCAGTTTCAGAGCCCACTAGTTTCATTCTCTAGAACCATTCCCATGCCGTTTTTTTCTTCTACTTGCTAACATATTTTGTGCTATAGCTGCTGGGCTTGAGACTGCTTTGCAAGACACAGTACAACTACACTTGGCTCGAGACTTGAGAACGTTGAATGAGTTGTTGCTTCCATTTCCCCTTTAAGGCCAGTATGTAGCAGGAGGGCTGCCTTGGCTACAAACCACTGAGACACCTACAATTTCATATCCCTTTTCTGCTGGTCCTGGAGCTCCCATCCTGGATTGTGCTTCTCGTTCAGAATATAGTTGCTCAGTTTACATTCATCCATTGTAGGTAAATGAGATTACAGCCTTCCTTATGTAGAGGAGGGGATGATAAAATACCCATTATCAAATTACTGACCTGGGGCTTAAAGGGGAAAACTTTTTTGTTACTCTTCAGGTTCAAGATGAGGAGGAAAGTAATAGCATAGCCTCATTTTTTTTAATGGAGTATTGTAACATATAATGGAGTAACAATATTTTTATTTACCTGTGCTGAAGGAAGAGCATCTCAAAACTAAAAGCTAGTATCAATGCCACTGAGCTTTCACTGTCTGCAAATACTGTGTATGTTCAAAATATCTGCAACAATTGCTGGAGAAGAGTGAGCTTTGCTGTTTCTTGGGCCATTGAGACTTGCATCTGTTGCAGCCTGAATTCAGTCTTGGTTACATAACAGTTTAGATGCTTTTAATATGGCACAGCAGCTGTGAAAAATGCTATTAGAACACCTAAAGCTGGGTGTGTTGGGAATCCTTGCAGGCTTTCTCAGTTCTAAAGTATAACACAAGGTGGCAGTGTATGTCATCACTTGTACCCTCTATGTCTGCTCTAAAATTGGGGCATGGAGTGGAAAAATGAGTTGATGTCATGTGACCAAACAGTGATGTGGATTCCATTTTCTCTAGGTTAGGAAAGCTTTGAAGAATACTGAGTTATTTTTGATGGGGTTAGAAAACTCCTTATAGTTTCCGCTAATAAATTGGGGAAAAAGTAGTCTGTATTCTTTGTTAACAAAGATGTTATGAATGATGCATGACTATGACATGCTTTTCCTTATTTTGAAATCCTCAATTAGGAGAACAGGCCTCCTTTGGAAATCCTAGGGGAATATATGTCTGCATTAATTATCTTTTTCAAATATACTTGCCTGAAGCTTCATTGTCTGTTATTAGTATAACTGATGTGATTGCATGCAGTGCACAGAAAGCATGAAGAACAAATCTGAATGGATCTGTTGTTGCACCTTGATGAAAACTTAAAGGCAAGTCTTGTTTTTCTCAATTCTTAATTAAGTGAAGATAAGTGCAGAGCGGTCTGGGAGGCATGAGATTTAAAAGTAATAAACTGAGTTCTATGAGTTTTCTGGCCTTGGGCAAATGAGTTAATTACTGCCACTTTGCTCATTAAATGGTTTTAATAAGGATTTGCTGAATTATGAGCATATTTCTCTAGTGCCCAAGTAGTGATGTGAAATATGTTGAAATGCAACACTAAGGCGTCTTATTGGACAAAAATGCTTTTTGACTTCAGGTGTATTAAATCCAGAGACAGTACATTCAGGTACTTCCAGTAGAACTTCCAGTAGAAGAGTCCTCTAAATACATTATAATGGAGTAAATTTTTTGCTGTTGCTCTTTTCTGAGACAACTGTTGTTCAACGGAAGATGTCTTCTCTATTTTCTTTTCTGTTTTTCCAACTGAACAAAGAAATAACACCAGACCTCTGGCATCATTTCTGTTCTTCACATTTTTGTGTTCAGTTTCAGCTTTGCAGCTTTTAGCTGTATTGTTGGGCCTCCTCCAGCTCAGTGCTTAGAGATATTGAAGAAAGTACCTGTCTTTGCCTTCTGAATCCACATAAGCTGATGAAAAATGCATCAGGTAAAGCTTTGTTTTTCTATAACTGTGCTGTCCAGAAGAAATATTATTGTTCTGCTTACAAAGATGGTAGTTACAAATAGGATTTTCAAGTGGCTAGTGTCCAATTTCTGTCCTGTGGTTTATAGAAATTGTAAAATGAAGATTAAAGAAGGTGTGTATTGATCATGTACTCTGAGTTTTCCACAGTTACTTTTTTGTAAATCTTCTACCAGTCTGAATGTATTTTTTTTATCAGGAATACATAATATTATGTCACTAGCTATTCTTTATGCAGAGTCACCAAGAGTTGGTGTGAAATCTGGGTCTGTAACCTAAATGTTCATTCCAGTACATCTGTGTGACAGAAGTACAGCAATCCACAAATCTGCAGAGGTGCAACATACCACAAGAGAGCAACTTGATAGTTCTTCTCTAGAAATCCTCAGAAAACTGACTTCTGATAAGCATCTGGTAATCTTGATTCAACACCTGCCTTTGTTTTCTTCACCCCTTTTCCTGAAAGCTAAACAGAGAACTCAAGCCAGCATCTCTTTGATAGGCCCTAATAGCCATAAAATGATCATTTCAAATATGTTAAGGGTAAAGAACATATAGGAAGCTAACATTTTTGCTGCAAAAATACTTACATTCAGCTTATTATAAAAGGAAGCAGTAGGTAGGTGTGGTACCTGTGGAGGAAAAAAGAGTGCATAGTATTACATGGTAAAATTAATAAAATACTGTTGTAATTAACTTGCGATTATCTGCAGCTTACATTATGTCAACTAGCATGCATTCCACATTAAGTATGTCACAGCTTACGCAAGTCTGATTTTTCTGAAGGAAAGATGTCTAGACTTGCTTTCCAATTTTGTTTTCCTTCAAGAAGACAGCTGACTCAAGTTAGTACAGCGGTTTGGGATAGTAGTCTTGTGCATGCGAGCAGCATGATGTTGTGTGAGGGTTTTTTCTTATGTCTCAAGTACAGGATTGAAATCCAGAGCTCTGGAGAGTGGCAGGTTGGGATGCTGAACTCATCAGACCGGATAACTGTATTGCTGCCTGCTGTTGCTCCAACAGATTGTGTGCTGCAAACCATTCATCTACATCAAGTGATTTTTTGTTAACTGGCAGTACCTAAACAGCAAAGCCCTCTTCTTCCAAGAAAACAAAAAAGTGGGGGGAATCAAGTCACTCAGAATCATGTATTTGGATATATAAGCCTTATCTCATACACTCTGTATTCAGGACATTTTGCAGCTTTTTTGTCCATTTGTTAATTGACCATTAACTGGATTCTGCAGTGCAGCTAAGAGCAGTTAAGTTGAGGTTTTCTAATTTTCTTTTTTTTTTTTTGGCCTTATTTTCACAGGATCAGGTTCACAAAATGGCTGAGAGTAGTTTGGGCCTCTGGACCAACTCCTGCCTCCAGCAGAGCCATCCAGGGCCCAGGCATCTTTTGAAGCTTTTCCAGAAGGAGACCCCACAAATTCTTTGGGTCCTTGTGCCAGATCTCCACCTGCATAAGAAAGAAGCATTTCCTGATGTTCAGATAGATCAGTGCTCCAGGTTATTCCCTCTGCCTGTTGTCCTGGCACTGGGCACAATTGAGAAGAAACTGGTTCTGTCGTCCCTTCAGGTATTTATAGGCACTGATAAGTTAAGAGCAAATAAGAAGTAGCCAAATTCTGAGAGAAATGGCTCTTCTTGGACCAACTTTAACAGACTAGTGGGGAAAGATAAATTTTATATAGCATTTCATCACCATATTCACTGACATATGTTGATTATATCAGGGTATAAGTTCTTTGCTCTACTGAGTGAATTTTCATGACTGTAAGTGAGACCACAGCTCTGCAGTCCTGCTGACTGTGAAAGATGTGATTGCTTGAACTGTTTCCTGAAAGTGGGAGTAGTGGTACTCTTGCCTTCCTCTGCTCTGTTATGCAGTGTCATATTTTCAATTTTCTTAATTGAGTTTACTCTTACTTTCTATAGCAGCCAGCAGATTAAGTCTTTGCCTCCTGGTTAGCAAGTGAACAGGCTCTTCTGTTTGAAAAGCATAATGGAAACATGGCTTGCTGTCATTCATCTTATGTGCGGCTTCTACTTGCGTCTTTCTTTGTCATCCATCTTACAAGCTTTATAAGGTAGTCTTTCTTTCTGAGACTGAGGGCTTATCTGAAAAGTCCATTTAAAGAATTGATGAACCTTTTCAATAATGTAACTGGGTTGCAGGTTACTTGCCCAAGCCGTTTGTGGTCTATAGTGAAACTGTTTCAGTCATTCATTCTCCCAGCTGCCTTTGAGCCTGTGTCATTTACATTGATCATACTTCACATATTTCACCAGGTGGGGAAAATTTCTGAATGCTTTTCTGTAGAAAAGCTTATTCTTTCAATACCATGAGTTATGTTACTTGAGTGAGAGGTATCTTCACTGTGTAAAATGACTGTACATTTTTAAAAATAAAATAAACCTGGGAGTGCCTGTTGTTTCTGTGTAATCTGTGATTAGCTGGCCTGATGTTTCTAAGTATATAGAGAGTGGGTGAGAACAGAATAAAGGCAAAAAGCTTTAGTCTGCTATGTAATGTGTTGCTCCTTATCTGAGCTATGCCAGGTGTTAAACACTTTATAGTAATTTGTCAACTTGCAAGAAGTAGGTTTTGAATACATCACTTACCTGCTTAGGACTGTATTTTACTGCTCTGTAAACTGATACAAAAGCATTATTGGTAGCTGTGCACCAATAATGATGAAAGAATTGACATAAGGCACATGTAAAGTTGCAAGAAGTTTCAGATGGTATTGAAATTCTCTAATGAGCTGCAGCTGGGGTTGTAATGCTACACAGGAAGATGAGAAGGTGAGAAAGTGAGAATTAAGCAGGCCAGTGTACTGATTGAGTGGTATGAGAAATAATTCTCAAGCAACATCGGAAGTGTTACTCTCTTAAAAAAATATTTCTTAATTTCGGTTCGAAGACCACTAGTTGTGATCATTGTAGCAATGGCTTTTCTGAAATGCTTTTTAAACTCCTCTTGACCATTGCCCTCTTGGGCATTGTGTGCCACAGCTGAGTTACTAGAGAGAGCTGGCATCTTATTTGGTCGGAATTTGCAGTCTCCTGCTTTTGTTACTGGTAGCTGATGTGTTTGTGTTTTTTTTTTTTCCACTTAAATATTTTTTTTTTTTTTTTTTTTTTTTTTTTTTTACATCAATCTATGCTTGTGCAATAGGAACATCATTTCTGCATGCTTTGGAACATCTTAGGCATAGAAACTGAGGGAGTCTTGAATGGATTAGGTCTGGGCAGAGATTCTAGCTCGAGATATTGCCAAAATCTGCATGGTGATGCATGCAAGTAGACTAAACACAGAAGAGAAGTCTTAAAATGAAGTTATTACCCATATAAAGATATGTTTGTTTCTCAATGTCAGTCTTTTAAATAATGTGGTGTAGGGGTTGGTCTGCTTGCCAATTCCTTTTTCTCATACCAGCAGTATGTGAGCATGTAAAGGTATGAGATTTTGGGAGCTGGAGCCCAAATACAGTCTTAGATGGTAATCTCTAGACTTGGCTGGGTGATTCTGCTTGTTGCTCAGCTTTCTTGTTTAAACTAACAAAAAACCTTATGTGTTCAAACTGGGAGATTATCATCTATACCTTAGATTGATTTTTTTTTTTTTTTTTTTTTTTTTTTTTATAGCAGTTGACACTCTTAATAATACTTCTGGCAATACAGATTCAACCAAACAAAGGTAGCCCAATGGGGAAACAGGGCAGCTGGTTGAGAAATTGTGGAAGTGATAGTGTTTTGAAATGACTGAGGAGGAGAAAAGCAAAAGCCTAATGCTCTTTGGGTATGGTCTGGAATGCCTTCTGTGTGTTAGATTGCAGGAGATAATGCAACATAATTGAGAAAAGCATGCATGTTACCTGTTTCAATTACATGTACGAAAACTGATGTTCTGTTTCAGTGTGTGATTAAATGAAGTAACAGGCCTGTGGCGTTAAGATAACATTGTTTTGAATGTGTCGAGTTGAAACATTGCCTAGAGATGCTGACTTCAGATCCTACTTCCTCTTTATATTTTTCTGCTTGTGGAAACATTATCTTGTAGGCCTAAACTTTACAGAACCCTTTATTTCATGGCTATGCTCAATAAACGTGCACTTAATTTTATCTTCTGTGAGAACCAAAATGAGGTAGCTGTGAGTAAATGAAGAAGAGGAAAAAAGATAATTTAAAAATATTTCTGAAATGTGTACTAACGGATATTTTTTTCCATCATGAAGTCTTTAGTAGTTCCTTTTTTTTTTTTTTTTTTTTTTTTTGCATTGTAACTTGAATTGTAAAGCATGAAGAAGTTTTTGAGTGCAAGTTTTTATGGCTTGCAGCTTTTTGGAAAAGTTGCTTTGTTCTGTTAGAGGACTGATTTAATCCATTTACTTTCTGAAAAAGCTTTTGTTTCAACCTGCTTTGACAGTATTTCTCATTTACTGTTACTCCTGTAATTCAGTAGCAAATTGCCAAATTGAGATTTGGTCTTTCATTATGATAATTACTAATGAATAGTTATATTTAAAATATCTCCAAACTGGCTGACTTCCCAGACCAGTGTACAGCTGGAATAACTGGGCCAGGAAAGAGGGAGACACTTTCTTCCTTCTCATAGAAAAAGCAGGGTGCAAAGAGCTGCTTTGCCCGAGTTGCTATGGGAGTTTGAAACACCAAACCCAGTTCAGCAGAGACCTGTGGCTGGATTACATGCCTGACTTATGTTGTGAGATCTTGTAGAGGGTATGGATTTAACAATTTTTAAAAGAAAAGAAAGAGGTGATTTTTGCAGAGCTGTAAAGCATTTGAGCTTTTGGCTTCATGGTGTTCTATGTACCAAATGTTCTGTTCTTTTGTGCAACTTAAGCCACTGTATCCCAAGCTGTCTCAACAAGTTGTTCCTTCTTGCTTTTAAACAGACCTTGTGACTGAGGTTTTCTGAAAGTACTTATGAAGAAATTGGGTTGTGTAAGCAATGATGTGCTGTAGAGGCTTTGTGGCAATAGATCTTAGGAATTAGTACTACATTTTCTAGTTTCTTTGGTTACACTGTTGTCTCACATGTGCCTGTAAGGCTGCAATTATGCCATGGCATTTCTTATCATGTGTGGACCGATGCTTGGCTAAAACCAGATGTAGCAGCCTGTACCATAGCCAGACCATGTTGTGAGTAAGCTTGATAGGGTCAAAATGAAGTAAAATTCCTAGCTGTTCTCTACGTGGTCGTAGAAGAGGTCTGGTGTTTTTTAGCTCCTTCATTCCAAGCATAGTAATGACATTTCATGTGCTGGAGAAGTGAGGTATGTAGGAACTGTTGATCTGCTGGTCTTCTGTCATTTCATAAAGATTTTGATAAAGCAGGAAGCATCTAACTCAAAGCTGTGACCAGGAAGTAATACAGACCCCTGGTGCTTTGTTTTTCTGTGCACCTTTCCCTTCCTGCTCCTAGTTTTAGTAAATTTGTCTTTTGTCTTACCACATCAGGGAATCAGGTTGATTTGGTTGCAGTTCTTCCTGTCACCACATTTCCTTGAGGGAGTGGGAACTGTGAAGTGATCTGAAAACTACATATCACTGTTCTACATGGAAAGATGTTTTAATCATTATTAAATAGCTCTTTTATGTCTCTGAAGGATGCTTGTTCTGTGGAGCACAAAATGGAGGTAGGGGGAAATTTTCATCTGAAAGGTGTCATGCCAAATTTTAGTAGCAAATGAGGTGATAGGAGCATTAAAAGCTAATTAATGCTGTGGGTTGTGTTCTGGGGTCAGTACTGCATGGACTTAACTGCTACAATATCACCATCCTATGTACGAAGTAGTTACAGCTTACATGTTGAATATGTGGAAGGAGTTCAGCTATGGTATAAATGTGACTTCAAGCAGTGATTGTCTACTGTGTACAGTGATCATTATATCTACCCACTAGAAATGAATTTCCAAGAAAGCACGTGACTTATTTTGTTCACCTTACTTTCTCTTATAGAGAGAAACTAAGAACTTTCATTAGAAGCAGTGAGTTTTGTATTGAGTGAGGATTCTTGTTTCATAGCAGATGTACTCATTTGCATAGAGTGGGCTAATTTCAGATGATCAGCTCAGAATGGATTCATCTAATGCAGCTAAATCTTGCCATTTCCCTCTGAGCAGTGTATAGAGAATTGAAATCACCTATTGCTGTGCTAACATGAGGGAAGGAGACAAGGAATATGCAAATAGTGTGGCAAGTGTATGTAGGCCTCCTGGTCTGGAAGGATAACTTTATTCCAGTAGAATGAAAAGTTGCCTCTTCAAGCTTTTTATTGAGAATTCAATATGAAATTTGACACTCGATTTACTTTTTTTAAAAAAGAAAAGGAGTTTTCCATTACCTTTGATTTTATGGAATGTTTAGTTGAGGAAATAATTGTCCTTTTATCCAACAGTACAAAACACAGGATACTAGGTTTCTGTAAAGAGGGTATGATGCTTTTAGAGAGTTGCCGTAATCTGAGCAGAAGATGTGAGCGTACTGACTGCTTTACATTAGCCAAAGTGGGGTTACTGGGATTGCAAAAGCTGCAAGTTTTTCAGGAAT